TTGAATGCACCAGGATTCCATATGGGCACCGGTTCTAATCCTGGCAGTTCCACTTCCCATCCAGCTCCCTGCCTGTGGCCTGGAAAAGCAGTCGAGGACAACCCAAAGCTTTGGGACCCTGCACCCGTGTGGGAGACCCAGAAGAGGTTCCTGGTTCCTGGCTTCAGATCGGTGCAGCACCGGCCGTTGAGGTCACTTGGGGAGTGAATCATCGGAGGGAAGATCTTCCCCTCTGTACATCTGCCTTTCCAATAAAAATAAATAAATCTTAAAGGGAAAAAAACATGTAGTGTCTTAGTAGTACTTAATGCTATAAATTTTGATATATACTTGGCTGACCAAAATGTAAGTAATTATATGACTTGCTCATAGAAAAATGTAAAGATATTCCAAGCTGATGTGTCTGTTTCTAGATCTGCTTTACTCTCCATTATTTAAAGTGGACATCGCTATAACATGGCGAGCGGTAGTTTCCAGCTTCTTTCTGCCTTCGTTCACACTCTCCTGGTCACTTGGTTGCAGAAAGTGGCCGTTATTAGAACGAAACTAGAATCAAACTGATGGTTGAATTCTGGCTTTCCATCAGCATGAGACGTGATACTTTCAATTCTAGAACGGAGAGAGGAAAGAAAAACGAATTGGAGGGAAAATTCAACAGACTTGTCTTCCCTGTTAATATTTCATAGGGTTATCCCCATTGGGTTATAAAACCATATGAAATATTGAGCAGGAGCTTCAAAGCATAGAGTGCTAGGAATTTTGTGTTAAAGCAGCTATTTAAAAACTCAAAACAGTGGGCCCGGCGCGGTGGCGCAAGTGGTTAAGGTCCTCGCCTTGCACGCCCGGGATCCCATATGGGTGCCCGTTCTATCCCGGCAGCCCCGCTTCCCTTCCAGCTCCCTGCCTGTGGCCCAGAAAAGCAGTCGAGGACAGCCCAAGGCTTTGGGACCCTGTACCCGCGTGGGAGACCTGGAAGAGGCTCCTGGCTTCGGATCGGCATAGCATTGGCCGTTGCACTCACTTGGGGAGTGAATCATCGGACGAAGATCTTCCTCCCTGTCTCTCCTCTCTGTATATCCGCCTTTCCAATAAAAAAAAATAATAAAAATAAATCTTAAAAAAAAAAACTCAAAGCAGCATATATAAGGTTAATAGTTGCAGTTTTCACAGCTTTGCAAAATCACCAATAGAGAATTCTAACGTAATTAAGATTAAAAATACCTTTTTTCAATATAAAAAGGAAACAAATGTAATTGATCTTGTGAAGAAGTTTTTGCTTTGTTTTATATTTGCAAGCTATATGTGATCAGTTAAGGTGTAATTGATACCAAGTTATGCTCAGAATTAACTTTCAGGGTAATACTCCAGAAGCATCACTGGCATCCCTTATGGGTGTCAATTCCTGTTATTTCCAGTTCAGCTTTCGGCTATGGCTTGGGAAAGCAAATGAGGATGGCTCAAAACTTTGGCTCCTTACCCTCATGTGGGAGATCTGGAAGAAACTCGTCTTCTTGCTGAAGGTAGCTCAGCTCTGGCTGTTGTAGATATCTGGGGAGTGATCAGTGGATGGATGCTCTTTTTCTTTCGTTTCTGTAAAATTTGATCTGCCTTTCCAGTAAAAATAAATAAATCTTCAAAAAAATTAGCTAGGTCTTATTGAAAGTATATTAGGTAAATACTGATTTTTTTGTAATATCCTGCTTATCTGGTACTCTGTCAGTTTTAACACTTCTGTTTTCAAAATGTTTATTTTAAAAAAAACAATTCAAAAACAAAATTCAAAAAGTTCAAAGAAGGAAAATGCAAAATGTCATGTGCTAGGGATGGGGAACATTTTTTGTGCAGGGGGCCCTGCAAACAAGTATTATGGGCCACGAAAATTCATCAACTTAAAATTAGCTCGCTGCAGCTAATTGTGAGTCCTACCTGTTTTCACCTTGCCTGAACTAGACCAGAAGATTTCTTTTGTATTACTTATTTATATTGGAAAGGCAGATCAGATTTCTGGAGCAAAAGAGAGACAGATCTTTTATCCCCTGGTTCACTCTCCATGTGGCCGGAAAGGTATGAATGTGAACCGATGTGAAGGCAGGAGTCTCCCACGTGAGTGCAGGGTTCCAAGGCTTTGGTCTGTCCTCTACTGCTCTCCCAGGCCACAAGCAGGGAGCTGAATGGGAAGCAGGGCTGCGGGGACCAGAGCCAGCATCTACATGGGATCCCGTTGTGTGCAAGGAAAGGACTTCAGCCACCGAGGTACTGCACCAGGCCCAGATTTATTTATTTTTATTGGAAAGGCAGATTTACAGAGAGAAGGAGAAATAGAAAGATCTTTGTCCTACTGGTTCACTCTCCTCGTGGCCGCAATGGCTAGAGCTGAGCTGACCTGAAACCTGGAACAAGGAGCTTCTTCTGGGTTTCCCACATGAGTGCAGGGTCCCAAGGCTTTGGGCCATCCTCTGCTGCTTTTCCAAGCCATTAACAGGGAGCTGGATGGGAAGTGGAGCAGCCAGGACAGGAACTGGAGACTGTATGGGATCCTGGTGCATTTGAGGAGAGGATTCAGCCACTTGGGCTGTTGTGCTGGGCCCCTGTTGCTTAGATGTGTCTGTAGGAAGTTAGTGTTGTGATAATAAGAAGTAAGGCCATCTCTGGCAGTGCTGGCTTTTCATGTGAGTCTTGGTTGATATCCCAGCTGGTCTGCTTCCCATCCTGCTTCCTCCCCCCCTCCCCCATAAAAAATTAATTACAAGTTATCTGGGTCTCTGCATTTATGTTGAGACCTGCAAGAGTCTCCTGGCATCAGGAGAGTGAACCACAAGATGAGCAGCATCTCTGTACTAACTCCTGACTTTCTAGTAAAGAAATACTAAAAAAAAAAATGTACTTAGTAAGGCCGGTTGGGGCTTGGTGTGATAGCCTAGTAGCTGAATCTTCACCTTGCATGTTCCAAGGTCCCATATGGGCACTTGTTTGTTTCCCTGGCTGCTCTACTTCACATCACATTCTGCTCCCTGTTTGTGGCCTGGGAAAGCAGCAGAGAATGGCCAAAGCTTTGGGGCCCTGCACTAACAGGGGAGACCCAGAAAAAGCTCCTTGTTCCAGGTTTCAGATCACTTGGGGGGTGTCCTAGCGGATGGAAGATCTTGCCGTGTCTCCTTTTCTCTATAGATCTGCCTTTCTAATAAAATAGATGGATCTTTTTAAAAATCAGAGTTAAAAAACAATGTGAAGATGTAACCATTTCGACAAACATGTATTTAACATTAATATGTGCTCTTTGTCTTTTGAAAGTCATGGAAAGTGATGATTAAGTTTAACCTTCAAAAGAGCAGTTCATTTGTAACATAAACATCAAGTAGATTTTTTTCAGTTCTTAGTTTTCTTCCCAACGTTTTTTCCGATTTGTGATGTAGTTGACCCAAACAGCATTTTGGCTGTTGTCATGGTGTTTGTCTCAAATGACGTCATTTTTAATAGGTGCTTGTGGAGATAACTTACTTGATATTAATGGGCGTTTAGATCTAAGTACAGCTTTTTAATATACACCATCACTCCCTGGGTCACTGGTTATGTTTCTTTAAAAAATAGGCACATATTTTGAAGTTGGCCCTGGAAATTGTGTGAATAGTAACATGTTCAAATTCTCATTAACTAGTAACTATATTCCATACAGTTGTTTGAGGAACTCTTTCTTGTTAATGGACATTGTGTTGCTTCCTAGAAATAGTTGGCGTTAGTGACGGGCCCTGCAGGCCGAAGCCGGGGCTAGGCACTCGGCTTGTGTGTCTCACCTCAGTGGCAGGCAGCCAGGTGCTTGCAGCAGCATCTGCTGCCTTCCCCGGCACATTGCTAGGGCGCTGCATCAGAAGTGGAGCAGCACAAGAGATGAACTGTCTCTCTTGGAATATGAATGTGGTAGCTAGTAGCTTTACCCACTGTGTCACAAAAAGACAGGGTCGGTGTCTTGCTTTCGTTGATGGTTGAATGGATGCTCATACCTGTCAAGCTCATTGAACCATGCTCTTTAAATGGGGTACCTATTATGTGTAAATTAGAGTGAATTACTAAAGTATTTAATCATGTACTTCTCATGGAAATAATGAGTGTTGATTTTTGGACACTCTGTTAGCATTCTAGTTTCTTGTACGTCTCACTGCCTAGTGTGTCAGCATGTATGTAAACATTGGAGAAGATGTAGATTGATACTGTCATTGTTCTCATAAAATATAAACTCAGTTGCTGTGTGTTTTAAAGAGTTTGTTAGTCCTGTATGGTTAGCTTCCTCAATAACATGTAGAGCATACCTGATTGGCTTTTCTCTATGATCATGGTCTGTAGGTTAGAAATTCAAGTTATGTTTCTTACTTACAGTGAGTGGCATAAAGTCATCAGTTTTTGTTCTTTTTAAACTTTAATTGGTAAGCATTATATAGGCTACCTGAAATGGGACAGTGTAAGAACAAGGTACAAATGCAGTAATTTCAATGAGATTTAACTAATTATTGAATTAATTAGTGTACACAAAAATCTTTTGGTCTTAATTAATGAACCAGAGGAGCAGAGACATGAACTTGGAGAGAGAATGGTTTGGGAGAAGTAGGACTGTCACAAATTATAAGGCATAGCCTGAGCCCACAGTGAGCTCCTCTGAGAAAACCCATTCTGAACCAGGAGTGCCTCGTACTATGAGAGAGCAAACGGGCGTGCGAGCTCCACTGGTGGTTTTCGCTAATGATAACGTAGCCAAGACAGAGGCTGCAGCCAGAGACGCCAACAGGTTTCCCCTGAGCGGGGCAGGAGGCAGCTACGTGCGCCATCTTCTGAGGCCCTTTGGGAGGAGGCTGGATTGCAGGAGGAGCAAATAGGGCTCTGCAGGCACTTAGATGTGCGACGTCAGGGTTTACAGGACCACAGCTGCCAGCCCCTCTCTGAACTTCTGAAGTTGTTAGTTCATGCACAATAACTTCATAAAATTTTGCTTTTGTATCTTCCACATACAGGCTTAAGGAAATCTACCAAGAAACGCAGTGAGTCCCCACCTGCTGAGCTCCCCAGCTTGAGGCGGAGCACACGCCAAAAGACCACGGGCTCCTGTGCTAGTACCAGGTAAGAATCTGGTGTTTCTAGTTTACATTGATTTATCTTTCATTGCTCAGGTTTTTTTCTTTCTTTTTTTTTTTTTTTTTTTTTAGTTTTCATCAAATTGTTCACTATGTGCTTAAAAATATCGGTAATAGGCCTGAAACAGTAGCCTAGTCACTAAATCCCTACCTTGCACTCCTGGGATCCCATATGGGCGTCTGTCTGTTCGGTCCCAGCTACTCAACTTCCCATCCAGTCATCCAGCTTGCTGCTTGTGACCTGGGAAAGTCATTAGCTTTTTTTGATGATTTATTAGAGATATTTTCATCAACTTTTCCCACAATTAAAAAGGTTTTTCTTACTAAGTTTAATTAGTTTTTTTTTTTTTTTTTTTTAAGATGCATTTGTTTTTATTGGAAATGCAGATTTACAGAGAGAAGGAGAACCAGAGGAAGATCTTTGGTCTGCTGGTTCACTCCCAAAGTGGCCTCAGTGGTCATAGATGAGCTGATCTGAATCAAGTCAGGAGCCTCTTCCAGGTTTCCCATGTTGGAGCAGGGTCCCATGGCTTTGGGCTGTTTGCTACTGCTTTCCCAGGCCGCAAGAAAGGATCTGGATGGGAAGTGGAGCAGCTGGGACTCTTAACTATTACCCATTTTGTGATCCTGGCACTTCAAAGGCAAGGATTTAGCCACTGAGCCAGTGTCCTGAGCCCCATGGTTTATTTTCACAACCTTTTTATATAGTATTTATTTTTGCTATACCACTTTCTTGGAATTACTGCTAATAGTTGAACCTTTGGCTATTTTTGGTGTTATAGTCTATGAAATAATTCTTAAGATCTCTATGTAGGTTTTTTTTTTTTTTTAAGATAGGTAAATTTCCCAGTAGTGTGAGTAGTGAATCAAAAGAGATTCCTATAATACAGCTTAATTCGTTTTTAAAAGTGTTAACATCAGTTTCTAAGCTTAATGTGTGGTGAGGAGAAAAGCGTAAATTTTCATCTATATGGTAACATCTCAGTAAAATGTCTGTGTATTTTGTATTCTTGCTCTTTTTTTTCCTTCCCAGTTTATTTATTAGGCAGAGACCAGAGCTATAGCTCTCCGTCCTGTGGCTCACTGCTCAGATCCCCACAGAGTCTGTGGCTGGGTCGGGTCACTGCTCGGCAGGTCTCTCCTGGGTGGCAGGAACCCAGAAGCAGTCATCAAGGCCAGCTGCTTCCCAGGGCACTTGGGAGTGTGCTTTCCCCTCTGCAGTTCCTGCTTCTCCCAGTTAACGCAGCTATCCAGCGTGTTAACCACCTGTGCTGCACCATGTTACTTCTAATGCATTAATTAATTAATTAATTAATTGGGAATTTTTCAATTTTCTCTCAGATATCCACACTTGATTAGCTTGGTGAGGTGCCTTCATGCAGCTCATGATTCAGTTGGGAGCTGTGAGTTCTCTCTGTAGTTTGTTTGCATTGCTAAATGCATCAGGAACCAGTACTAGGGAAGTGTTTTTTGTTTGTCTTTTCCTACTCTTAAGTATGTAGAATTCTTCTCTGACCGTACTTAATATTGGCTGCTCTTAGCAATGGTACAACAGTGATATAAGGAAACAGTGAAGTTTATTGCCTATGAATCATTAAGACATTAGACTCCTTGTTGCTTTTAAATTCTTACCTTTTCGTTTATTTTTTAAACTTCTTTCATTTGAAATACCTCGGAGTTAGTTTACCCATTTGCCTTTTAAGAATTTTTAGTACTTGCAGAACTTGGACAAAGTACCTTAGTTCTTCAGAGTTTTTGTTTTATTATGCATTAAGGTATACACTAGGTTTTATGGCTGGGGATTTCATGCTGTGAGTGAAGTCAGGTGATTGTAAACTGTCCTGCCCTGCCCTTCTGCAGCTCTTCCCTTCCAGTGCTTCCTGGAAATCAGGGTCTGTGAAGTTGCTTGCAGTGTGGGTGGTCATGCTGTGTGCAGTCCTTCCTGTCAGACCTCTTAAGGGTTATCTGCGCTGCTCAGTGTCATGCCTCTGCCTGCTGGGGCTGGCTGTGCTGCTCTTTAGTCTAATTCTGCGTGAAGGCAGCAACCTTGTGTATCCAAACTGGCTAGCCCAGTGTGTCAGTGCAATTAAATAATAAATGACTGAAATTGAGTTCTTCTAAATAGTAGCTTGTAAGTTGGGTTTGGAATGAGCTTTCCTTGTAAAGGAAAGATTAATTAAGCAAACCTCTATTTAGAGAAGATTTATACTAATTAGGAGGGAAACTGTCAGCACTTTCAGGTAATTCTGAACCTTCATTTACATGTGAATTATGGCTGCTGCTGTTTACTCTTTAATGCCAGAAGCTTGAAATCTCACTGCAATTTTACTATAATCTATTGCTTTGGTTCTTTTTCCTGTTACATTTGTTTATGTCTTCAGGTAATTTGGGGAGCTGCTGTGCACTCCTAATTTGTGTTAGTTGTAGGATATGTCTCTGGTCCATTAAAGTAGAGAAAAGTGCATACCAGTAAAATGAAATTTTATGGGAAATGAGTGGTAGACTTTTTCCATGTGTTCTGTGCTCCTGTCATAAACAAGTGTCTTTGCAAGTCTCTTATTTATTTATGGATAACCTTTTATTGTCTGTTTTAAAAGGTATTGTCTGTTACATGGATAGTTCATTTTGGATGGTGTAGGTAATCTGGAATCTAGAAGGCTGGGACTTTTTTTCTCTCATCCCCTCCTCTCCTTTTACTGGTAGTGTCAGCAGTCCCTTTTGTATTGATCCACTATTTAACCTGGTTGTGGAACTTGCTTTAAGTGAATTGAATTTTATTTGCAGGAGTCACTTTTCCATTTAGTTGGAAGCGTTTACAAATTATTTCTGTGTATAAGAATAGCAACAACTCCTAGCAGCACAAAAGCTTGTATTGTGAATGATATGTTACTTGGAAGAATTTTAAATATACAAAGTCTTGGTTGTTATGCATAGTGGTTTTCTGCAACAATTTTTATTTAAAAAGAAGAAATGCTTTGTGTTCCATGAATCTAAGCTTTGTGTTGTCTATACATGGCTCCTGGTTCCTTGGTAGTACAGGCTGTGATGACATTTTTCTGTTGTAGCCGGCGAGGCTCTGGCCTGGGCAAAAGAGGAGCAGCTGAAGCTCGGCGACAGGAGAAGATGGCAGACCCTGAAAGCAACCCTGAGGCCGTCAACCCGTCAGCTGCGCGGCCGGACGAGGCGCCCCAAGGAGCAGCAGGTAGAGGGGTTCCTAGGTCACTCATGGCTCAGTCCAGGCATGTGGTGAAAGGGAGGAGACGGATAAGTTTGCCATTGTGTGAACTTCTTGTTTCCTTTTGTGCTTCACAGGTTTGGTATTTTGACTAGTTGAATTTGTAGTTTCTTAATTTTTGTTCAGTACAACTTTGTACTAATTCTACTCAGAGAGCTCTTAGGAGAAACTCCCTTCTATTCCAATTTTTATATATTGACTTGGACTTGTAATAATTGCACAAAGACAGAGTTTATAGTCCATGATAGAAAAGTAAGATGTGGTTAAATTGCCTCACAGTTCTTAGTTTTAACAGGATTTTCTAGAACCTTGAACAGTTACATTTGTTTTCAACCTCAGCACCTTTTAAAAACTAATTTTCTATGTTTTTTTTTTTAAATTTTCAATATCTCAGAACAATTAAGGATTTTCCCATTTCTGCAGTTGTAAATATTACTGTTTTCAAAACTAATTGAATAATTTAATTTTTTTGTGGCTGATGAATCTTAAAAAGTAGTTTAACATCTTCATTGGTAAGATCAAGGGGTACAAAAATGAATAACAATTTCATGTGCTCTTGTTTAATGTTGAAATATGTGCTGGTTTTTATTTAATGCTTAATTCCTGGGGTAACTTATGAGCTTTAGTTTCTCTGTTACTGTTGTTTTATCCAGCCCAGCTTAGCTTTTTTTTTTTTTTTAAACGTCTTGTTTTTGTTTTTGAATGATAAACTACATGGTAGATTTACAACATCTCTTTTGGTGGAAAGAGGTCTTTCTCTTGCCTTTTGTAGTTTTCCTGAGATCGTTTTTCCAAAGTTTTAAATGATTCACCGGTGGGTAAAGAAACAGTAAAGCAGTCTGTTTGGCTAACCTATAGACGCTGTTGATGATGTAGCCTCCAGTCAGCCTTTGATGTTTATCTCAAGGTTGAGTGTGGAATGGAGCAGTTCTCTTGCCAGGCATTGGGCTGGGAAATGAGAGATGACAAATTTGCTGAATGTGCTGTTGAAAGTAGACTGGCTGTCATAATTGTAAAAGCTGATATTTCTAGAACATGCACTGTTCATTGCAGACACAGTATTAAATACTTAACATGTATTTTCATTTGGCATTCAAAACAGCTTTTTGTCATTGTCATTTTGTAAATGAAGAAAAACTGAGACATACTGGTTAAACTTTTCCAGGGTTACAAGCTATGTGATTGTCCAATCCAGGTGTTAGAAATCAAGTGCACATTTGTAACAACTATGGTTGTTTGTATCTAGTTGTAAGAATTTTTTAGTTAATATAGTTGAAGTCTGAAATGAGGAGTTGAATGCATGGCTTTATTAATTAGTACATCGCCGGTTTGCTTTCCTGAACACTGCTATGTGTTTCATTGTAATATATATTTGAAATTATAGTGTGATTTAGGTAGTTTCAAGTTTATTGTAGTATCAGTGATTAAACATTTCTATGCCATGTTTTCTGGCTCTGAGGAACACTGGGCTCATTTTGTTTTAGAGTAAGGGATCCCTTTTGGACTATAGGAATTCTTCTACTGGCTCACTAATGCGTTTGTATAGAAAGGAGTGGATTGCCTGAAATTGTTAAGGTATTCAGTGTGTGCTTTAATTTCTCTGTATGTACAATGCAAACTCAAGGGGTGGGTGTTGTTATGCTTACTCAATTCCCTGGAGACATCTATGTCCTATGTTGGAGCGCCAGTTTTAGTCTTAGCCGTGGCGCTTCCTTTGTGACTTCTTGCTGAGGAGCCTGTGGAATGCCAGTGGATAATGGCCCAAGTACTTGGGCACTGGACACTTATGTGGGAGTTTTTCTGGAGTCCTTGTCTCCTGGCGTCAGTCTGGCCCAATAGCCCTAGCTGTTGCAGATTTTTAAGAAAAGAACCATTCGGGGTCCCAGGCTGGGTCTGCCTTCATGCTCAGAGCCCCGATTTCAGCCACCACGTACACGCGGTGGCCATTGCTGGGCCTGCCTGAGCTCAGAGGATGCTCCCTTCATGGTGAGTCCACTGAGAGGGGAAGTCTGGCGAACAGGGCAGTCCCGGGCCCCACCCACTGCCAATATTGTGCTGTGGATGGGATTGGGCAGGGGGCGACTTTTGGATTGTTGGGGTTAAAACTTCCAGCAGCCTGTTGGCTGCTGGCGGGTGCCAGGCTGAGGCTGTCTTCATGCTCAGAGTCCAGATTCCAGCCACCATGAACACACGGTGAGCTGTCCCTGGGCAGCAAACTCTGGGGTTTTGAGGCTTTGAATTGCTGTTTGGGTAGCTCCATGTTGAGTCCACTGTGCTTCTGTGTTTCAAATCAAGCTTGAAGACTCCAAACAACAGAATAACTTTTCCTTTGAAGGTAAGCAAGGGTAATGAGACCTGGTAGGTTGGAGGAGAGGGACCAGATAATATTTATGGATAAGACTGATATGCCAGCCTCCTTTGAATCCTGTGTAGAACTTATAATCACTGAACAGTGCTAATCACCGAACACCAGTCCATGCAAAAGCTAAGGCTCTGGGCATGTCTAGCAGGATCATATCCCATTACCTAACATAATGATGGATCAGGAGACGGGTCACATTAGGCAGGGCCATGACATTAGCTAGCACACAAGAGAACCGTTTCTGGGCATGGATTCTGTGGGGGATGTGTGGGCCAAACCCTGTGGAAATACTAGCCCCACAGGTTAGCTCAAGAGTTGGGTTGGCGATAGACTAAGCTAGGTGCGACCAAGGAGCCTGCCATCAGTCACACGTTAAGGAACCTGCAACAATCTGGACTGGTCAAAGCAGCAGCACCCGAATGTGTGTCCTAAATAGGGTGTAGGGTGGGCTGGGCTGCAACGTTTACCAGCTCATACAAGGCCAAATGGAAGGTCAGACTATGCTGGGCACTGGCCTAAAACACACTGGCATGTATGAGAACTGGGTCTGGGAATAGGTCAGGTGGAGGAACTTGGGAAACTCCCCTGGTGGGTCATAGCTCCTGCTGGTGAGCACATGGTCCAGACCTGGGGACCAGAAAAACTGAACAAAGTAGCTCCAGTGGCTGGTTGATGTGTGGATTGGTATGGAGTGGGGTGGACCAGGCAGGACTGAGCAAACATTAGCTCACAAGTAAAACTAGAAATCAGGATGGAGTGCAGGTCATGCTGAGCTAGGCTCTTGCATCTACTGGTCTGTGTGAGTCAGGAACACTAAGCCACAGCATCTAAGACAGAGGCTGGGACAGGTGAGGGGCTGTGCCAAGCTGAGTCAGAGCAACCACTGGCATGCGTGCAGTCTATGGCTAGGAACAGGTCCAGTTGGGGAGTTAAGGGGACCCACCCTGGTTTGGTTGAGGCTCTGACCAAGGAGTGCTGGTGCTGGAATGGGGGCTGCGTTCTGGCTGCAGTCTCTCTTGGTACAAGTGTGGACTAAGACTGGGGGCACCAAGCCGGGCTAGACTCCAGCACCATCTGGTGCTCTGGAGGACCAGGATAGATGTGGGACGGACTAGGCTAGGTCTCTGCCTCTACTGAGCCATGTGGGAGCTGTGTCTGGGTATGGGTGAACTGTGGTTGGGCTGAAACATCCAACAGTAAGAAGCAGATTGGGTTGAAGGCCAGTGAGGAAAGGCCAATGTTCCTACTAGGATAGGAGGTGGACTGAGTAGGGCTGGCTCATGGACCCACTGGTATATGCAAAATCTGGCATTGGGAGAGGTTCTGATGGAGGAGCCTGGGCAACTGCTCTGGCAGGACACAGACCCTGCAGGTGAGCCGAAGAAGCATGAAAGGAAACAGCCCCAGAACAGGCTGGAAAGTTTCCCACTGGCATACAATTGGCATGGGTCGGGGGTAGACCAGGCTGAACCAGTTCACATCACCCACTGGCAAATCCGAGCACCAGAACAGAGTGTGGGTCGAGCCAGGTTCAGTTGCGACAAAAACTAGTGCACATTATGGAATGCCAAGGTGAGCTGACCCGTACCAGATGTGACTGCAGCACCCATCCAGCACTCCTGAGATCCAGGAAGGGAGGGAGGCGGAGCTGGCCAGAGGAATGTGGAGGGCTCCCCTGCTGGACAGCCACTCCCACAGGAGAGCATGAGCTGGGATGGGTGCAGACTAGGCCAGGCAGGGCTGCAACACCGGTGGGTCTCAAGGAGAAGCCAGGCTGGGCTGACTGTTGTTCTAGTGCAATCAGAAATTGGAGTGGGTGAGGGATGGTTGGGCTTTAGCATGTTGTCAGCTGGCAGAGGTTGGCACTGGAAACTAAGTCTGTCAAGTTGAATCCCAGAATCACCTGGAGAGTACATAATCTGGGAGTAGGACTGGCCTAGAAGGGAAATAGTGGGCTCCTCCCTGCTGGATTACCATTTCCACTGGAGAGCATGAAAACCAGGACAGGGGCAGGGATGGCTAGACAGAAAGGCACCCAACAACATCTGTGTGGACTGGATAGTGGAGCTGGTTAGATGAAACTAGGCTTCAATGCCCGTTGACATGTATGAGAGCTGAATGCGATGTGGGACAGACTGGACTAGTCTGCTGCACATAATGGCAAGCACTGGAATCAGGGCAGGCGGCAGGCATTGTGGGGGTTATTGTGGGTTGCTCCGACTAGGCTACAGCTCCCACTGGTTTATGTGAGGACTGAGTATGGATTACAACCCCAGTGGTTCCAGTGAAAGATAGGGCTAAAAACAGAACCAACCCAGCAATTGCAACCACCAGTTGATTGGGGCAATGGACTGTGCTGTGAGCCCTGTGCTTGCAAGTACACCCAAGAATCTGGTCTGGGATCACCTCAAAGCTTTTCTGGGAATCTTCCCCAATCGAGCTTTCGGGCTCAGAACCCTAACCATAAAAAGACAGAGGACAGAACAAATCAATCAACTCTCCCCGCCATATGTTGGCAGTGAAAAACTGCCAAATGGAGGCTCTAAGATAGACTGTGTCAACCGGTGGATTCTTCAGCGACTTCATCGTGCTTGGAGTGGTGAGATTTGGCAGCAGTTCATAACTGTTGAACTATCAAAACCACCTGAGCAAGAACCTTGGAGCATGCCCCATATCCGGGACCTGGGATGGGTGGGAGACTGGGTGGGATTTCTCCCTTTACCTTCCTCTTTACTCCAGGCACAGGAAAAAAATGTGGAAATAATAGTCTTACTTTCCTGTAGCCCTTGAACCTTTTACCCTAATTAAGTTGTAAAGAATTTCAAAAATTAAGAAAAACTGGGAAGTGATTTTGACAGTTCACCTTAGAGTCTCTATTTTCCCAGATTTTCACTGCCAACACATAGCTGCAGTAGATGATCAGTTTCTTTTGTCCTCCACCCTCTGCTGTGGTACCAGGTTAGCTAAGTGGTTTAAGTAGGTGTATATTGTATGTGCATGTGTGTGTGTGTGTGTGTATTCTGTTGCCTTCTGTACGTACACATCTGGTGAATCCTTAGCAGTTCCTAGCAAGTAAAATCTAGTTCTAGGAGTTTTATAATATTTTTGCTTTCTGTATAAAAGATTGGATCAGTTGTGAAGCATTTTTATTTTATAATAGGTTTTTTTCCATGCAAATGTATGTAAGCTATTTCACATGTTGCTGTGAAGATATGTTGTGATTAGACTGAATCTGTGGATTAAGAAGAAGGGAGTACTGACACGGAGAAGTTGCTGTTGGATAACTTTTGTTGGTGGATTTTTACATATGACTCCTGGGACAAATCTGGTGGGCGAATTCCTGGTGGTCAGAAGCCTTCTGTACAGAGTTTTGTAGTTGGTGCCTCTTGCCTGTGTGACAGAGCTACTTTCTTTACTCCTGAGTAAACTGACTAAAGACTAACCAGTTTGAATATGATTTTCTAAATCCTACACAGAAGGAACCACAGTGGATAACTACTTAACATTTGTCATGAAGGGGCTGGTAACTGGGGTCTTCTCTTTATGTCTAGCAAATGATTTCTGTGAATGAAAACAAACATAGCACCTTTGACCCTGTCCCTGCCTTCCTTCCCCTCAATTGAAAACCAAGTTATCAGGACCAATGCTGTGAAGTGGATCTGAAAGAATCTTCTGGCTTTGGACTAGTCCAGCTCTCGCCATTGAGGCTTTTGGGGGAGTGAGTGAATCAGTGGATAGAAGTTCTTCTCCTCCATGTCTCTTTAAAGGAAGGCCAGATTTTCCTACCCTCTTAGTGGTTCTGTAATCCCTAAAGGTTGGACTTTAATCGTTTGAAGGAGTACAATCATTTGATTGTATGCTTTTGCAAGTTCTGAATCTGATTGTATTTCTGGCAGAACCATGTGAGATACTCATTATGATGTTTGATAAAATAATGTGTATTAGTGTTATATGCAAGAAAGCCAAAGAATCCAACAGCACTTGAGATTCTAGGGAGGAAACACACTTTGATTTATATATGCTAACTTGAGTTGGACTCGCATCCCAGGAGTTGGGTCATGAACCTGTGTCTTCTATTTTTATTTACTAAGCTGTCAGGGTCATAGTTGCAAGGGAAGCTCCCAGCTGAGCTCAGGAATGCAGATTGACAAGGCAGCCTCAGGAGCCATGCAGCAACCAGTCCATCCCAGTAATGGACAGCCCTTCTGGAACCTGGGATTGTTGGAGGTCACAGCCAGTCTACAACCCTATAGAAGAGGCAAATTTCTGAGTTTTAGGCTGTGATGCAGCTGAGTCAAACGAAACAGTATTTTATAAGCTTTTTTTTTTTTTTTAAAAGAATGGAAGCCAGATGGAGAGATAAATCTTGCATTATCTGAACAGTCCCTAATGTCTACAGCAGGCAAAGCCAGGAATCAGAAATTACAGATTCCATCCAGGCCCCATATATTTTGGCCATCATAAACTGCTTCCCAGGCATTCTGTAGGAGCTAAGATATGGGATGCTGGTTTCCTAAATAGCAGCAGTTTATCCTGTTGTGCCACCACACATGCCTTGAGGATCTCTTTAGTGGTTGTAGTCCTGTAGAATATGTTAAAGGCAGTCCCAGGATATCCTTTAATGAATATACATTTTAAAAATTCGCATTGCTCTAAGTGAGCTTTTTGGTGTTCATTTGTTTATTTCTTTTTACTTTTTTTTTTTTTAATTGCAAAGTCAGATATACAGAGAGGAGGAGCGTCAAATAAGAACATCTTCGTCCGATGATTCACTCCCCAAGTGAGCGCAATGGCCGGTACTGTGCCAATCCAAAGCCAGGAGCCAGGAACCTGCTCCAGGTCTCCTATGCGGGTGCAGAGTCCCAAGGCTTTGCATCGTCCTCTACTGCTTTCCCAGGGCACAGGCAGGCAGCTGGATGGAAAGAGGGGCTGCCGGGATTAGAACTGGCACCAATATTGGACCCCAGCGGTGCGTTCAAGGCAAGGACGTTAGCCTCTAGGCCACTACACCGGGCCCAATTTGTTTATTTCTTAATGTGTGATTTTAGAGCTAGCTTTTTAAAAATGTCAAACTATTTCGGTTTTTAATATCTTGTTATTTGCTCTCCGCATGTCTGGAAGAGCTTTGAATGAAATTATTTTAGCAATATTGATTCAATATTGGTGACAACAATAAATAACAGTGTTTGTGCACAGCTTGAAAATGCAACTTGTTTAAAATACTATGTTGGATTAGATTTGGCCTTTGACCCATGCTCTTCTGACCAGTTTATCAAATCAGATTTTTCTAAAAATTTAAAAAAAAAATCTGAAACAGAAAATAGTTGCTGATGCATAGACAAAGATAATATGAAAGCATGGAAATATAGTTTGTGGCTAAGATAATGTTATATTTTTGTGGAAAGGTTCTTAAATTCATGTTACTCATGAGCCTCTTAAAACAATAAGTAGTGACAGAAATGATCTATCTGGCTTACACTGTTTTTTTTTTTAAGCCCCACTCCCCAATTGACCAGAGTTAGTCCAGTCTGAACCAAGTATCTGGAGCTTCTTCTGGGTCTCTGTGTGGGTGCAGGGGTCCAGGTGCTTGGACTGTCTCCTCCCTGCTGCTTTCCCAGGCACGTTAGCTGGGAGCTGGATCACAAGGAAAGCAGCTGGAATACAGATCTGCACTCCTGGAATGCAGGCAGCATGTCCGTGGCACTAGCCCCACTGCCCACACTACGTTAAACCTCTCAGTTGTCCTCTCTTTCATACCTCGAAATAACAGTTCACTTGTTTAGCTGTAATGTGTTAACTGAGCATTTTGTCAGTTAAAAAAAGGTGTATTTTGTCAGAATAAAAGGTATAGTCTTTTCCCACTCTTGAGATGAGAGAAAATTGATAACTGATTGTGTTAAGACTTCCCCATCTAGGAGGAATATAGCAGACAAAAAAGGCACATATCTATAGAATGTCTGCTTAGGGCATTAACTATCATACTAGCTTAGCTCTCTAGAGGAGTCAGGATTTAATTCAAGAAAGGCTTCAGAATCATGAGGAATCTGTCAAAACCATTTGTTCAGTAACAAAATGCAAGAATTGTATTTTAAATGCTTATTTTAATTTTTAAAAATGTTTGTTTATATATTTGAAAGGCACTGTTAGGTAGCAAAATATGCAGATTTCTAATGTCTGTCTGTCACTCCCCAAATGACTGCCGTGGCCAGAGTTGGGCCTGTTTGAAGCTGGAACCCCAGCATTCAATGCAAACCACTTTGCATTACTTCCAGACACATTAGTAGGTACCTGGATTGGAACGGGAGTAACTGGAACTCGAACCATAGGAGATGGTGGTGTTGCACGTGGAGGCTACTACATTGCAGTGGTGACCACTTATTTAAGATTTATTTGGGGCTGACACAGTGGCATTAAACGCTAGTCTAGGCCATGTGCGTATTGGTTTGAGTCCTGGCTGCTTCACATCTGATGGCAGGTCTCTGCTTATGCTCTGAGAAAGCAGTGGGGAAAGGTGCAGGTCCTTGGGTCTGTACCCATGTGGAAGGCTCAGAAGCTCCTGACTCCCACCTTCAAGTCAGTTCAGCTCATCTCTGGCTGTTATGGCTGTTTAGTGGGTGAACCAGAGGATGGAAAATTTCTCTCCCTGTCTCTCTTCTCTATGTATATCTGTCTTAAAATGAAAATTAGTAAATCTTTAAAAGAAAAAAAAGCAATTTACTTATTTTAAAGGCAAAGTGGCAGAGACAGAGCATGGAAAGGGTTTGGGAGATGGCCGTGGTGGCCAGGGCTATGCCTCTCTGAAACCAGGAGCTCAAAGCTTGATCCTGTTAATCCCACAGGGATATCGGTAACCCATGCACTTGGGCCATCTCTGCTTTCCAAGTCCCAATAGCGGGAAGGTACCTGTATTCCTGTGCTTGTGTCACAAACCGCAGCTTATTATGCCACAACACCAACCCTTGTTGTGATATCAAAACAGTTTGGATGAAGTCTATAATACAAAAACTGAGTGTGCAGTAGGAAGGAAGACAAGCGAATTGCCTTTACTGACTATATTCTGTGAAACTTTGGTTATAGTAGATTTCAATTGTTTGTCTCCTATTGCTAACCTTGTCTCCCGCTGCCCCAGCTTCTAGTTCTGTTGCAGGGGCTGTTGGCATGGCCACTTCTGGGGAGAGTGAATCTGATGATTCCGAGATGGGGCGATTGCAAGGTAAACACTGTTACTGAGCCTGCACGGCTGTCTGTTACTACTGTTTATGGAAATTAGTTCAGAAAATGTTTGAAACATAATCTGGTGGTGTCCGCACTTAAAAAAGGCTTTTCTAAGAGTTGATTTGGAGTTAGAAGATGAGCTATAAATTGCTTTTTCATTTTAGAGGAACTCTTATGCATGAGTACTTTGAAGAAGTTACTGGAAAATGGAGATAAAATTAGGTGTGTTTTGGTAATAAAGATCTTGAAATCCATGTATTGCTTTTTCACAAAATGCATTTCCCACCAACTTTTGAAAACATATCATACTTGCTGATTTCAAAATTTCTGCCACAAGATGAATACTCCAGTTTTCCACAGACTTTTCAGAGCATCTTTATGTATTTATTTTTATGTTAAAAGTGTAGTTTTCCTTGTGATTTTCTGTAAAGTTGATTTAATAATAAACATCTTCAAAAATTGTTTGCTTAATAATATATTCTCTTAACTGATAGTTTACTGATGTCAGCTGTACATGATTTTTAAGCCTATATGCTGATGATTTAGAAGAGGGTATGCATTTCAATTTTGTTATTGATTTAAAATAGATTTCTGTTGTGAGACTTAGAAGAAATGTTATTTGTATGGTGTCACTGCTTTGATGCTTTTGTGAGAACTGAAGACTATATCTTATACTAAGAATGTTTATACACAGATGGCATTTTTTTAAGCATTTCTTTTTAGAAGTGAGTATCAGTGTTTTGTACTGTGTATGTTAAGAGAGGGTGTCCTAACAGTACCTAATTGGGCTATAACAGGGAAAAGAAAGCATGTGTAAATTAACATGTAATTTCTTCAAAGTAAATATTTGCATTGAAATATTTATTAGGCTATTTATACAATTATTACCGCACTGATGGTTAATCTTTCCATAAACCCCTGGAGTACTTGGTACTGGCACATGTATATTTTAATTTAGATTAATTGTGCTAATATGTTAGAATGGTCTAGAAAATTTAACAGATTCTGTTGATATTCAGATTGGAAAGTGTCATTGACTAAAAGTACATTATGTCAGAAGAATTAATCAATTGCATTGGATCAACTACTCTCTTCTCACCTCTTTCTCCTTTAGCTTTATTAGAGGCCAGGGGTCTTCCTCCTCACCTGTTTGGTCCTCTTGGTCCTCGGATGTCACAACTTTTCCATAGAACGATTGGCAGCGGAGCTAGTAAGTGGCTACTTGGAAAGTTTTTCCTTTCCTAAAATCCTGTACTGATTAGGAAACTGCTGTTTTGGCTAACTATCTGGTGATAAAGGAGTTTTGAATGAATTTCAACCAGTTTTTTAAAATGGGCCTTTGCATTTTGTCTGAGAGCAACTGTAAGGTCTTAGTTTTTATTTTTAATTATTGAACTAGGATCGTTACAACAAAATGAGTTTTAGAGAAAATTCTTTAGTTTGATCTACAGAGATGTAAAGGTTTTACAACTGGCAATTATGGACTCTTACTTCATTGCTTACATTGATTCCAGTTTTAGGATTTTTGTATTTTAATGAAAGTTCGCTCATTAGTTAGTCATGAGCTTGAGAGGAAAGGCATCAGCACAGAATCACTCGTCATTATTCATCAGATTAATGAGTTATGAGATTTTAATAATAAAATGGCTGATACAGTAGTTACTCTTGAGACTTCAGATTAAACTGAGAATACAGCTTTAGTATAGTCACAAATTTACACAAATTCTTTTTGGTATATATTGTCTTTATTTAAACTTTGGGGTTGTGGGGGGAATCCAGCATTGATGTTTCTATAGAATCGATATGCTGTTTATAGATTTCAGCATTGTTTAAGTTCCGATATTCTGAAATGTTACTGATGTCTTTGATCTTTCTGATGTATGGTAGATAACATGCCATCAAACACACTTTTTAAAATGATGTCATATATAAACTTGAGTATGTATCAGGCATTTTGTGTAAAAGAACTGAGGAGTTCTATGATGATCTGCTACCACTGTTTCTTTGTTTAATAGAAGAGATCATTGGCAATCAGTTTATTTCCAGTCAGAACTTGACCTTGTTCTGACCAGCATTGCAATTTTGTTAAGACTCATTTCGCTTTTGGCTCATCACTATTTTTCTATTGTGGGTCTGTAAGGAGTTTGGGAACCTTGGCAATCCCTGCTCCTCTGACTCGACAAATGAAGCCGTTTGAGAATGTGGCAGATGTCTTTGGAGGCTCTTAGTGTTCCTGGTTCTCTGTTTGAGGCCCCTTATTCTAGTGCTAGTTCAGCTTCTAGACTGTGGGACCGAAGGAGTGTTTTCCCTCTCATTAATGCTTCTTACGTGGCCCCTGTTTCTTGTCACGGTTCCGGTGCTCAACCGATGTCTGGTGGGGAGTGTCAGTTCCATGACTTAGCCTCTTCTGACTCCCAAGGGCACTGTGGCTAACACTCTCCCTTCCTCTGTATCCGGAGTCAGCATACTGCGCCTCAGAGGACAGTGCCAGCCTCCTGTTTATTTGTAGGAGATCACAGAAACAACTAAAATTTTTGGTTTTAGTGTGAATTCATAGTGTGTATATATGGACAGTTTCTAAGTATAATGCCATTTTAGTACTTCATGGGATTGAAGTAGAAAAGTTAAATACACACAGAATAGCTAAACATGGTGTAAGAAGAAAAACAATGCTTGAACATAACGTCACATCTGAAAACTGACTGAATTAATTATGGCTTCAGGTAGGAAAGTCTTTGAAAAAGGAAACAAGTTTATAGACTTCACCTTTTGAATTTCTTCATTTTAATGTCAGTTTATTCCCTTATGGGGGTGAGTCTTGGTGTTTTTCAATTGTTTGTGTAACATAATTGTGTCTTAAAAGTAAGCAAAAGTCCTCTTGTACTCAGCATCTGCACAGTACATGGGAAGATGTAAATTCCTATAATTTTGCTGTGTTTATATAATGTTTTGTTCAGGACATTATCATTTGTATTTATTTTCTTGCTCTTTCCTCGTTACATACATTTATCATAGTACAAATATTTAGTGTTGCATTTCCTGTGGAGGCTCACTTTTTTTTCCCTGGCCTTGATTTTTTTTTTTTTTTTTTTAATTTTATGGCACAATCCCATAAGATCTGTGATTTTCCTACTCCCTCTCTAAATTCCCACCCCCTGAGTAATTTTCCCCATATTATCACAATAGTATAGTCCTTCATGAGCAGTTGTAAGTCCATCAGTCTGTTATTTAAGTGTGCCCTGACATTTGTGGTACAGACTATGTCAGTCCAGTATCCCATTGTCTAGTTATGTCCAACAGTGCCATTGGGAGTCCATCTTTGATCTGGGCATAGAGATGCACTCTGCACTGTATCTTCACATCTGAATGTTAGTCTGTTACGCCATCACTATCCATTCTCTTAAGTGAGAAGTCATGAAGACCACCATTGTTTAATATGTGTTCAGTGTACCAAGTTTTTGCTTACTCTGTGAGTTTAAAACAAACCTGTTAGTATTATTAGTTGTATATTAATTTTGTGGATATTTTAATTTTATGGCTGAAATATTTTTTGAAGAGATAGGTAAGTCACTGGGTTGCATTAAGACAGAGCAGATCCAGCTAACTTAGCTCTGTTTGTTGTATGTGTTAGTAATGTATCTTGACCCTGGTGTAGATCAGTCTTTTAATTGGAGTCCAAGGGAATGAGTCACACCTTACCTCCTGGTGATAATTTTCTCAGAAATTTAAACATTATTTCCTTTCTGTGAAGGTTCTAAGGCCCAGCAACTTCTACAAGGACTGCAAGCCAGTGACGAAAGCCAGCAGCTCCAGGCAGTTATTGAAATGTGTCAGTTGTTGGTCATGGGAAATGAGGAGACACTGGGAGGATTTCCTGTCAAGAGTGTTGTTCCAGCTTTGGTAGGCATACGTTTTTCCCCTTGTTGTACCTTTCTTACTCTTTGAGTGTATGTGTGGCTATTGTGACTTTAGAAATGAATAGAATTATGACTGGACTATATGACTTGGTGCTTTTATTTTCACATGTATAGATAATGTAATTATTAATGATGGGTTGGTAAATGTTTCTGAGCCATTTTTTGACGGATTGGCATCTGATCTTTCATACTTCAATGTAATTGGTTTTACATTATTTGCCTTAATTTTTACTATAAAAATGATTACACTTCCTTACTGAGCCACTGGGGAATTATAAAAGAAGCTCACCTTGGTTTTCCTGTGTGGATCAGAAAGCTTTGGTTTAAGAAAACAACAACAACAACAAAGCTTTAGTATTGGAGCAGAGCAGTCCATAAACATTGTGGATCATTCCAGCTTAAAAGATTTTATCGTAAGCAAAACAAAGGAAGGTTGGGAGCAACAAAGATATTTCAGTGATTCTTCAGTGTACATGTGAGCTGAACTGCTATTGTGGGTGCTTGGTATATATTTACATCTTAATTGTTTTTACACTTTTGCATGCGAAAACAAGACACTGTATTCGCAAATGTAGGCCCTTTATCAATTTTATAATTTTTAAATAGAGGCTTGACAATGGTTTTCTGCAAAATTGAAGAAACTGGCTATAAGTAAGAATAAAACTTAAGTCTGACTCAAACACTAATAAAAGTTAATAATTATCATTACAGTTATTGAATGTTTTGTTTGCAACATTAAAATCACATGTTTTAACATACCCAGTCAAAGTGTCAAAAATGAAAATGTAGGGCCTAGTGTGATGGCCTAGCAGATGAAGTCCTCACCTTGAATGCACCCAGATCCTACATGGGCACTGGACCTAATTTCTGCAGTCTAGCTTCCCATCCAGCTCCTTGCTTGTGGCCCGGGAAAGCAGTTGAGGATCGCCATTAGGCCTTGGAACCCTGCACCCGTGTGGGAGACCAGAAAAAGGCTCCTGGCTCCTGGCTTGGGATTGGCTTGGCCAATGCGGCCTCTTGGGGAGTGAGTCATCGGACAAATGATCTCCCTCTCTTGTCTCCTCCTCGCTGTATATGTGCCTTTCTAATAAAAATTAAATCTTAAAAAAAAAAAGAACTGTAGTTAATATATCAGATTGTCTTATTAGAGAACAATGGCAACTTTTATGCCCTATGAGATATCAGATGGCATAATCTTCATTCTACTTAATTGTAAAGGAGGCCTGGTTTTGTGAAGGTTGTTAAAGCATAGAGCAGTTTAGTCATTTTCTGCCACTCAGACCTACAAATAATAAAAGCAAGTAATCCTGTTTAGTCCATTCTCGTTAAAGATTGTCATGTTTCATGAAAATGCTGTTAGTCTTCACAGTTTGATTTTGCTTTACCAAAATCCAGTTTCAGATTGCTGATTGGTTTAGGAAATGGCTTTCATTATGTGAATTTAGACTTTCTGTTAATTGAAATGTGAAGAGCTGCGCTCACCTTATGCTTTCTGTAGTTAAAATGTAGTTCTTAAATGGGGAAGCCATTTGTGTACGCAGAAATGCTGACACAATTCAATTCACCAATTCACTAGTTGATGCAGAGAAAGAGTCTGCTCCCCAGATTGCAGCAATAATCAAGTCTGGACCAAGGCAACACCTGGATTAGGAATTCATCCTGCTCTCCCCTATGGGTTCTGGGAAGCTGGGTCAGAGCAGAAAAGTCTTGTCCCAAACCCAGCACACCCTTAGGATCAGCCCGGAAGGCACTGGATCAGTTTGCTGTGCCACAACGCTAGCCACTATTTTAGACATTTAATTGAAGGGTGGATTTGGTTCATTAAAACATTTCCATTAAACTTAAAACAGTGAGTGATTATCATCTCCTTGAGATGGCAACTTCTGGGCTGGTGTTGTGACATAGCAGTTAAGGAAGGTGGCTACAATACCTACATCCTGTATGGGCATTGTTCCAAGTTGTGGCTACTGCATTTCTAATTTGGCTCACTACTAATGCGTCTGACAAAGTAATGGAGGATGACCCAGGTTGGCAAGGCCTAATGGGATGCCTGGGAGATGCTCCTGCCTTCAGTCTGGCCCGGTGTTGCCTGTTGGGACCATTTGTGGTGTGAACCAGCCCAATTCTCCCTCTTGTGTTCCCTTCTCCTTCTCCCTCCTTTTTTTTTCTCTCCTCCTCTGCCTTGCTCTGCCATGGAGGTAGAGGTTTTAAAATGGAACCTTTGATGAATACAGCTGCTTTAGGAATGTATAACTTTGTCAGTTTTTCCTTTTTCTTTAATAAGTGATGTGGCTGAAATCTGATTGATTTGATTTCTAAAATAATGTTAAGATCAAGATATTTAAATTCACTTATGAGTAAGAGGGGTCCTTGGAAGGTTTGTGAAAAAATTTCACTATGAAAACAGTTGCATGAATTTCAAATATTTTGCCCCAAAGTAACATTACTTAATTCCATTCTTTGAGCCCTTTGAATTACTGGAGTCTGGAGTAATTATATTAATTTGTCTTACAGTTCAGTTTGTGGTGCATGATCAGTCTTGTGTTTAAAATGCATTGACCTGTATGTGTGCTGACTGTTGCTGGTTCAGCAGCTGTCAGTGCATTGTCCTTCCTCACTTACTTAGGAGAGTGTGTAATGACAGGTGAGTTCTCACCGGTCTGATAAAGGGTTTCTGAAAGTGTTGAGAAACACCAGAAAGCTTGCTTGCAGATAGTAGGAAAGCTGTGCTTCTAACTTGGATCATGAACTGCTCCTTTTCCCGCAGCATACATTGGATCCAAAGGGCCAAGAGAAGAGCCACCCTGAAAGTAATTGTTTCTTACATATGCCGGATAGATTTTATCTTGATTTTATTTTTTGGTGATAAGTTTTTCGTAATGCTTTACATTCCAGCAAAACTAAGAAATGAATAAATAAATTCAGGGCTTTGCTTTAAGAATATAGCTTCTATATAACAAACTTTTTATCTTTTTTAACAGATAACATTATTGCAGATGGAACATAATTTTGATATTGTAAGTATAAATGGATACTTTTTGAAACATGCTGAATGTACATTTTGAGTTTCTATGAAGCAAGTATCCTTGTTTTCTAGATGAACCATGCTTGTCGAGCCTTAACATACATGATGGAAGCACTTCCTCGATCCTCTGCTGTGGTTGTAGATGCTATTCCTGTCTTCTTAGAAAAGGTAATTCAGAGTGGGCTTGGGCTCAGCAGAGCAGATGCCTGTGTCCCGTATGGGAGGACCTGAACTGCTTCTCACTTCTCCACTTCCGACTCCCCATTCCCAATTGCTGTCAGTGCCGTCCTGGGAGGCAGCAGGTGATTGCTAACTTTGGGGCTCAGCCTTCTTTTGGGGAGACTTGGATTGAGTTTCTGGCTTCCAGCTCCTGCTTGGTCCAGTCCTGACCCTGCAAAGCACTGGGGAGTTAACTGGGAAGAATGGAGTGTTTGTTTTGAGTTTGCATGCTGTCTGAATCTGCTTCTAAATGAAAGGAAAAATAAAGGCAACTCTGTCTTTGCTCAGCTCGTCCAAAAGTAGACATGTGGAATCAACCTTTGAATTTTGAAATTCTAGCTTCCAAAATCTGTTTTAATCCAGGATTCTGGAAAAATATTTATGTTCAACAGACTAATGAAGTTGCAGCTAATAAATCATTTATAAAATCAGCTTGGTTTTAATTTTTCCATAATTTATATAATTATAATGCTCACATCTGTATGTTTCAAAAAAGAGCTTAGCGCTTGCTGTGCAAGTGTCACCTTTAGGAAGCATCTCACAGAGGCGAAGAGCTGCTTAATAGCATCATCGTCCAGCTCCAGAGGACCAACTGCCTTGCTCAGGATCAAAGGGTCAAGTCAGTGGTGAAGGGAATTTTTTATGTGATCTATGGTAGATTGTGTTTGGCTTGCGTTATGGACCTTTTTTATCTAATGCATACAATTTACATTTATATGATAAGCTTATAGTGTAAAATTTAACATGTGTTTTAAAATTAATATAAAACAATCCATATATTTTAAATATAAAGATGTAAAGTTATGTTATTGGGCTAATTGAGCATCTTAGAATTATTAGAAGGAAATTTGATTGTACATCTAACTGAGGTTCATTAGTGATTTCCTATTGTGCGTTTCATGTTGTGAGGGAAATTATAGGTAAATATGGTGCTTATTCATGCAGAAGATAAACTTCTGGATAAGACTTCAGCGATAACCTTAAGTTACTGTTGACGTGTTTGCAGCTGCAAGTCATCCAGTGCATTGATGTGGCAGAGCAGGCCTTGACTGCCTTGGAGATGCTGTCGCGGAGACACAGTAAAGCCATTCTGCAGGCGGTGAGTGTTCTGCGTTCAGTGCTGGGTCTCAGATTGGCTCCTTGGTTGTGCTGGTTCTGAGATAGGTGTTGTTTCCTAGTGATTTCCTAAGCTTCTTAGTAGTTACTTTTTATTTTTGTGTTTCTGATAAAAGGATTTTTCTTCATCTAACAGTTTTCTATATTGTAGGGTGGTTTGGCAGACTGCTTGTTGTATCTCGAATTCTTCAGCATCAATGCCCAAAGAAATGCACTAGCAATTGCAGCCAATTGCTGCCAAAGCATCACGCCAGATGAATTTCATTTTGTGGCAGATTCCCTCCCCTTGCTTACCCAAAGGCTAACTCATCAGGTAAAGTGGGAAGCTCTTTTATTATTGCTTTTAAAAATTGATCATTTTGGGCCCGGCGCGGTGGCGCAGTGGTTAAAGGTCCTCGCCTTGCATGCCCGGGATCCCATATGGGCGCCGGTTCTAATCCCGGCAGCCCCGCTTCCCTTCCAGCTCCCTGCCTGTGGCCCGGGAAAGCAGTCGAGGACAGCCCAAAGCTTTGGGACCCTGCACCCGCGTGGGAGACCCGGAAGAGGCTCCTGGCTTCGGATCGGCATAGTATTGGCCCGTTGCGCTCACTTGGGGAGTGAATCATCGGACGGAAGATCTTCCTCTCTGTCTCTCCTCTCTGTATATCCGCCTTTCCAATGAAAAAATAATAAAAATAAATCTTAAAAAAAAAATTGACCATTTTAACTGACGTTGAATAAGATATATCTTATTGGAAGGCTTCTGCATGCTTTCTTCTATGTTATCCAGTCATATCCAGTTAAATGAGGCTGAAATGGCCACAATAGTAAAGCTGGACCAAGGTGAAGCCAGGAGTCTGGAGCTCAATTCTGATCTCATGTGTGTGGCAAGGATCCCAGGATGGGGCCATCTTCTGATGCTTTTCTAGGCGTGTTAGGATGGCACTTACACCAGTGCTTGTGTCTTACAGAAGGGGAAATTAGACAGATAAGGGATTTAATATAACATAGAAAATGCTCTAAACCACCCCCAATGATCATTAAAATACCCCAAAGTATTTTTCTTTTAAAATGATTAAAATAAAATAATGCTATTCATTTTTTCTTAGTGAAGTTTTAATATATACTTGACTTAAGGTGCTGTTTCCTTTCTTGCACTAAAAATATGTTCTCTTGTTTTGTGACAAGTAGTTCCATATGATGCTCTTAAAACTATAACAAAGTCAGAGATTTCATAACTGTCTACTATTTGTAGCACATTTCTAGACGTCATAATGTCATCAAAGATGTTGGCCTTTTATAATTGAATTATTTTTATAGAAATAGAATGTTTACATTTGATGTTCACTTAAAAATTTTAAAAAGCAAGAACACATGAAGCAGTAAAACAATTTTTGTCATATATAAAATCCTTTTTATTATGATTAGTTCTGTAGTCTCAAAGAAACTACTGCTTTAAAGTGAAGTGTGTTTCTGGTTTTTTGTTTTTGTTTTTGTTTTTTTCCCTGGAGACCTTTTCCTGGTTTTCTGAAAAACTAGCTTTTTTGGTTTTGGTTTTGTATATTTAAAGATTGATTTCATTTTCATTTGCAAGGCAGAGGAAAGACAGATCTTCCATCTTGTGTTCAGTCCACAAATGGCTGAAATGGCTAGAGCTGGGTCAATCATGGCTGTGCCAGGAGCTTTTGTGTCTTTCTCATGGGTGCAGGGACCCAGTGAGCAATCCTCCTCTGCTTTGCTGGGCCACAAGCAGGGAGAGCAGATTCAGAAGTGGAGCAACTGGGACCCAAACCAGTGCTTGCATGGGTTGCTGCTGCCTCAAGCAGAGGCTTAACCTACTGTGTTATGGCATGTTCCTTCTAGTGTATTCTTTTAATATGTACACGCATAGGACACACATAACAAATGTGTGCTGTTCTTTTTTAAATGTTGGGTTATTTGTTTGAAAGAGAAAGTGATAAAGTTGAGGAAGAGAGTGAGAAATGGAGCAATCATCCATCTAATGGTTCACGACCCAAATGGCCACAATAACTGCGACTGGGCCAGGTCAAAATGGGGAACGCATCTAAGTCTCCCATTGAAAGGCAGGAGTCTGAGCATTTCAGCAGTCCTCGGTTGCGTTCGCAGGTGTGTTAGCAGGGAGCTGGGACACCAGGACTTAAACATTGTGCCATGTCTTCCATGCAGTTGTCTATGTCCATGGGGGATTGAGTCTAGGACACACTGGTGAATCTGAAGCCAGCAGATGGCTCATGTGCCTGTATACCTCTGAATCACATAACCGTATATCATCAATGTCAACTTTGTAGTGTATACATGTTTAAATATAAATATTTCTGCCTGGATGCTTTAAAATGGAAGGATATTTATCTTTGGTGTCAGTTTTGTTCAGGTGTTGAGATCACAGAAGTAAAGTGTTTGTCATTTTCTCTGTGTTTAATTTTGCTTTTCTTGTGAGGTTTTCCATGGAGGATAGGGGTAATTCTGTGTTTTATTCTCTTTGCTTTGAAATTTTGATATTACTGAATGTATCTTGTTTAAACTCCTTGCTCTTCAAGCTAACATCTGCTGAGTGATTTAGAGAATTTGGGACTAGATAATAAGACAGTGATGCATGAGAATAAAGAATGGCTAATGTTGATAAACTTTTTCCTTTTACAAAATAGGACAAAAAGTCAGTGGAAAGCACTTGCCTTTGTTTTGCGCGTCTTGTGGACAATTTCCAGCATGAGGAGGTAAGAGGTAGTATTTTTTAAGTTGTTGAATTGTGGAATAATTTTCTTTATACAGTAATTTTATTACAGTTGTTTTTTCCTTGTGTTTGTGAAGAATTTACTCCAGCAAGTTGCCTCCAAAGATTTGCTCACAAATGTTCAACAGCTGTTGGTGGTGACTCCACCCATCTTGAGTTCTGGGATGTTTATCATGGTGGTTCGAATGTTTTCTCTGATGTGTTCCAACTGTCCAACTTTAGCAGTTCAACTAATGAAGCAAAGTAAGTCCTTTTTTTCTATCATTCTACCTTAAAACAGAGGTTTGCTTGTTCCTCATTAATTTGTTGTAAAAGTCATTATAAGGCAAGCAAGCAAAGGAGCATTATTGCCAATACATGTATTGAATAGCCGAGCTGGAAAATAATAACATGTAATTAATATGTATTGGAACAATAAGTTTCCAACATAGAGGTTAAAAACCTACCATTTGAGCCCAGTGCCAGAGCCTAGTGGCTGAAGTCCTAGCCTTGCAAGTGCCAGGATCCCATATGGATGCCAGTTTTTGTCCCAGATTCTCCACTTCCATTCCAGTTCCCTGCTTGTGCCCTGGGAAGGCAGTGGAGGACTGCCAAGGCCTTGGGACCCTGCACCCATGTGGAAGACCAACCCAGAGAAACCTCTTGGCTGCTGGCTTAGGATCAGCTCAGCTCTGGCCGATGCAGTCACTTTGGGAATGAGCTAGCAGATAAAAGATCTTTTTCTCTGTATATCCTTTCTGTAAATCTGACTTCCCAAAAATAATAAAATTTAAAAATCTTAATAAAGAAATGAACAGCCTAATCTTCATGGTTTTAAAGCTAAGGACCAAAGATTACTTATCTTTTTAGGAGAATTCTGAGCTTTGTATTATGTCATTTTTTTTGCTTATAAGATAGTTCTTTGCATCCATTTCAGATTTCTCTTACAGATTATCTGGTTCCGGAATGCTTTTTTGATAGAGCTTCAGAATGCATATTTTGTTGTGATTATTTCCAAGACATATTTTTATGTGATTGAAAATTTGTGTGATTTAATATTCATCATTCTAGTGTCTATTGATGTCCCCTTGAGAGGGTCAGTGATGGTATTCACTGACAAGGTAGTCCTGGGTTCCATTGTCTCAAGGCAGCATACTTAATAATGCAGCATTTTTATTAGGAGGGAACTTAGTTTTAGATTTAGTTTCCTTTCTTTTTTTTTTTTCAAATTGACACATGTAAAGCTTTGGAAGAACAGTGTTGTTATGGTCTTCTTTGAAAAGCTTGTTGTGGTGGCGGTGAAAGTTTCTAAGGTCCGCCTTCTGAGGAGTGCTGTTAGCAGTGTTCCGTCCTCCTTCTGCCTGAACAGTGGCTAGGACAGGTCCAGCTGCTAGAACAATCAGTGTATAACCTAAAACGGTAAGCTCCCTAAACCTTACGTAACGCACATTGTCTTGGAGTTTGAGACAGTTTCTTTTCTTTTCACGTTTCTGAATACTAGTTTGGGAGATGCTGCTGCACATTTGTTGCTTTAAGCATTTGAATTTTCTGTTTCTTTTAGTGTCGTGCATATCCCAGCTCTTCTGCATTCTGTAGGCATTTTGCCAGTTATTCTTTGTAGAGATTGCTGGGTTTTTAAAAAAATATATCTCAAAGGAAGCTTGAACCTGTTCTTTTTTTATATATATATAAATAATTTTGGATGTGTAATTCCATATTTCTCATTATTGATAGTTACAAAACTATACCTTAAGAAATTGCTAGAAATTTATAGCCACTATTTGTGAATGTATGTATACAGACACACGCATGTATATAAGCATTGCCGTGTGAAATTCGCAAAAGGAGAAAGGTGATCTACAGATAGCTTCTTCTATGTTTGTGTGATAGCTTATTTTGACCTCTTGTTTTTCCTTCTGGGGTGGGTGTCTGAGTGGCCCAGGCCTGCTAACGCGCATGCTCTTTGTGCTTGGCTTGCAGACATTGCAGAGACGCTTCACTTCCTCCTGTGTGGTGCCTCCAATGGAAGTTGTCAAGAGCAGATTGACCTTGTTCCCCGGAGTCCTCAGGAGCTGTATGAACTGACCTCTCTGATTTGGTAATAATTGGACTGAAAACAGATCTGTTGTTTGACTTTATAGGCGTAACGTTTACTCCCAATTCAGGAAGCCACTTATTAAAAATAATTACACTTTTTTTTACAGTGAGCTTATGCCATGTTTACCAAAAGAAGGCATTTTTGCAGTTGATACCATGTTGAAGAAGGGGAACGCGCAGAACACAGATGGTGCGATCTGGCAGTGGCGTGATGACCGGGGCCTCTGGCATCCCTATAACAGGATTGACAGCCGGATCATTGAGGTAGTAGTTTCATCGTACCGTTTAAATGTATCTACCTTGTTGGACAGTAGGTGTAGGGATTGAATGGGGAGGTGGATTTGTACACTTCAGCACACTCAGTTTTGAATTAACCCGAGATTCTCATTTTGTCTCCTGAGAAGAAGGTCCTCATTTCTATTGAGGCCAGAAAACATGGGGTTTGTAGTCCTGCTTCTGCTGCTAGCTTCCTGATTGTTGTGGAGCAAGTAATTTATATTTTTTCCAGTTTCCTTATCTGTGAAAGGAAACATTAAAAGACTGCATGTTTTCAAAAATATTTCTACTTTCTATCCAAAGATGTCTGCCCCAAAGCAAAGTTCTATATGCTGCTCAATATTTTCTAAGAGCAAAAGCCTTGAAATAAATATTGAGCTCTAAATTGTGATGCATGTGTGTGCTCATGAGATATATGATTCAGTTAGAAACTCAGCAAAATAAATTTATCAAAATGTAAATGGCAATATTCTCTGGCCGTTTTATGTGTGATTTTTGTAAAAAGATTGATTCATTTAAAAGGCAGAATTCACAGGAGCACTACAGAGAGAGGAAGCAGAGATCATTTGATTTTCCAATTACTGATCATCCCCCAAATATTTGCAGCAGCCAGCACTGAGCTGGCCCGTCTGAAACTCCAGCTGGGCCTCCTTAGCAGGTGCCACCTTCCACTTTGAGCAGGCACATTAGCAGGAGCTGGAGTGGAGTATTGCAGCCAGGACCCAGTGTTTCATGTTGGAATGCCATTGTTGCAGGTGGCTATCCAGGCAACTGGGCCACAACTCTGGCCCCATTTATTTTCATACTTAGATGTAAGAAATTTTTTTAATTGTCAGATCAGCCAAATATATGTCCTGGCTTGGGAAGTGTTGAGATGCCATGCAGCATTTATTAGTGTTTTCAATGTGTAAGATAACTGTATTTTCTATGTTTGGAATTTTTCTAGACCATCACAGTTCAGAAAATGAACTTTTAAAAGAAATTTAAGTCACACAACTTAGAAGATCAAGAGTTTTTGTGAAGAAATCTACATATACAGTCTGCCATCTTTTCTTAGGACGTTATCTGTGATCTTTAATTCATTGTAGCCTTAGGTATATGAGTAGGCCTGACTTGCTAAATGGTCATGTTGTCCATCTCTGAACTATTTTTTGTTTTGTTTTTGTTTTAAGCATTTTCTTAGTAATGGCTTCACCATACTAGCTTCTGTTTTCTGAGAATCCTGTCTGCTCTTCATCATGAGTCAGCCTACATTGGAAGAATGACTATTTTGTTACTGTATAGTGTATCTAAAATCAAACAGTGTTAATTAGACTGTCTCACATTATTGTAAGTTCTTTTTAGTTCATGCATCCTTGGCAGTGAACCTAGTTTCAGTTAATGTTCTTCTCTGTCTTATAGCACAGTTTAAATATCCAAGTTTCTTTTTTATCTAAGGATAATTTTGTAGGATTTTTTTTTTTTTAAGTTTTTTTTGGGGGGGTGGATTGCTCAGAGACTGTTACTTAAATGTTCTTAAGAACTAGGAAACAAGATTACGGTAACAGTTCATTTTCCAATTAGCAGTGTCTTAAAAGTTTCCTTACTGCAAATAGTGTTGTGTTCATGTCAATGATACTATTGGAATGTTTCATCACAGATTTATCTGAAATTATACCAAAGGGTCCCTGATAGGTGCATGTTTTTGCTTAATTAGGAAATACATAGAGTTTTGCCTTTTACTTTGCAATATAAAACTTTAAAATCTGAAGGTAGCATCTATGGAGGGTTCCCGCTGTGTCTGAAGGTAATGAATTTCTCCATGTTTATATTCAAGGTTTCTCTCTCTTTGCTCTCAGGCAGCCCATCAGGTCGGTGAGGATGAGATAAGCTTGTCCACTCTGGGACGAGTTTATACTATTGATTTTAATTCTATGCAGCAAATCAATGAGGACACGGGAACAGCACGTGCCATTCAGAGAAAACCTAACCCCTTAGCCAATACTAACACTAGTAAGTAACTTTTCAGTTCAAATACTATTATATTTTTTTAGTGGGAATACAACTTCCTTTTTGCCAGATAAATAATTGTTTCATTGACATTGAGCTTATGACACGTGCATGATATACTAATTAAGTTTTTCTTCTTTTACTTTTAAAAAAACTTTTCTTTTTTATTTGCTTTATTTCTTCATTCATTTATATTTGAAAGGCAGATTTGCAAAGATAGCCAGAGATCTTCCATCTTCTGGTTCAATACACAAATGGATGCAATGGGCTGATCCAAAACCAGGAACCTGGAAACCCCTCCAGATCTCCCACATGAGTGCAGGGACCCAAGAACTTGAACTGTCTTCCACTGCTTTCCCAGGTGCATAAGCAGGTGCTGGATCAGAAGGTGGAGCAGCTGGGACTTGGAGTGAATGCCAAAGGCTCAGTGGAGGCTTAACCTATTATGCCACAGTGCCTGCAAGTTTTTCCTTTTGAGTCATGTGCCTTAACTGCTGAATAAGACTTCGTATTTTAAGTTTGATCTCTGTCACTCCTCCTTAGGTGATGTCCCTGGTTATTCAGTCCTCTTCCTCCATTCTGCCTTTGGATTCATCCCTCCATCAGATCAGTTCTTTTCAACCTTTTATTTTATACCTTTTTTTCCAGAATTCTTTTGTTAATTGTTGAACATATGAGTGATTTTTTTTTTCTCTCCAGCTTAGGTTTTTGACACTTGTGTTCCTCCTTTGAGATTTAGTCAGTTACTTTGGAAGTTAGGTCTAGAGTAGAGTTCAGAAAAGCACCATATAATAAGTATTTTAGATTTTGCCAGGTCATTGGTGTTCCTGTATTCAAACTGTGCTTGAAGGCCTGAAACTGCCTCACATAGCAAATGTGAACAAACATACAAGGATGTTGTTCCAGTAAAACTTTTCTTCAGAAATAAGTGTAAACTTGAGTTGGGTTTATGAGCGTACTTTGCCAGTACCTGATTGAGAGCTTGCCATTTTTACTTTTTCCTGTAAGCTTATCCCCTCAGTAGTGTGATACAATCACCTTTTTAAATGTTACATTTATGCATATCGGAGTATATTTTACCATTTAGCACAATACCATTTTTTTGAACTCAGTTATTTTCTTACTGCTAGTTTACTTGTTTAATACTGAACACCCACTATTTTGTGGAGCGTGTATTGGTAAGATAGTGTGGTGCAGTGCAGTGGTACTTTACCTTTGTGGCTGGTCAGAATGCTGAGCAGTTTTTCTGACTGGTCCAACTTTGCCCTAACGAGGATCTCACCACACTGGGAAACCTCGTTTGGTTAGCTTTTGCTTTATGGGAGGGAGGAATTTAAGGACATGTCTGATACTACATTGGCTTGAGTGCTTTATTGCTTTTTTTTTTTTTTTAAATGTAGTCACTCAGGATTATATATTTTTTCAATAACAGGTGGATACTCAGAGCTAAAGAAGGATGATGCTCGAGCACAGCTTATGAAAGAGGACCCGGAACTGGCTAAGTCTTTCATTAAGACCTTGTTTGGTGTTCTTTATGAAGTGTATAGTTCCTCAGCAGGACCTGCGGTCAGACATAAGTGCCTTAGAGCAATTCTTAGGATAATTTATTTTGCGGATGCCGAACTTCTGAAGGATGTTCTGAAAAATCATGCGGTTTCAAGGTGTGTTCTTGAAAATGGTAGAACCATTTAAAATTCACTTGTCTACAATTTCAGAATTTTACAAAGTAATAATACAGAAAAAAAAAATGTGCAGAATGCTATGGATTGTCATGATGTGTTCCCAGCCCACTTGTCCATCTATGTGTCTGTGTATAAATAGCTGTAACACAGAGGAATGCAGTAAGTGTAAAGGGTGAACATAACTTTGTTGAAGGAGCATTTTCATGGCGAAAATACTTTTCTCTCAAATTTAAATAGTATGGCCAAAGATAATGACCAAATTCAGGCAAAGCTTTATGTGCAAATACTTTCTTTTTTTAGTCACATTGCTTCCATGCTATCAAGCCAAGACTTGAAGATAGTAGTCGGAGCGCTTCAGATGGCAGAAATATTGATGCACAAGTTATCTGATATTTTTAGTGTTTACTTCAGAAGAGAAGGTAATTTTGTATCTGATTATAAAGTCATTGTTACTAACTTTGCTAATACTTTAAAAATACGATTTTAGAAAAGCTTTTTGTAAGACATTGTAGCTTAAGTTTTACATGAAATTTTTTTAAGTATTAGCACATTTTGTGTGAGAGTGACTGTTAACTAATGAATAGTTGTTTGTAATGATTGGGTGCTTATTGACTAGATTTCCCATTTAAAAAATCACAGGTTTTTTTCTTTCCCAGTAAATTGTGTCTGTAGAGCAGAACAGTTGAATGCTATGTCATGTTACTCTTTTTTATATAATTAGTATTTTAAAGCTTGTTGCATTTTGTCTAGCTCTTCATGGTATTTACATGTTGAAATCTGAAGGACCCGGGGTACTTTTCATTACTGTATTAAGGACCTCAAAGATAAAACTCCATAGTTTTATCAACTTAAAAAGTTGTTTTGTCCTTTTTAATCTTGTCATGATATTACCTAGGAAACAATTACTGTTTCTTATTGGTCAGAGTCTCCTAGGGCACTTCAGGGTTTTTGTGGATACTACTATTCTAGGAGATAGGAAATCATTTTGTGTTCCTCTGACTCCTTATTTGTATGAAAAATTCTTGTTTTTGTCCTTTCATCAACATTTCCTTAGGCTGAATTCTTTTCACATACTGAAAACAGCATATAAAAGATAATTTCACCATTTAAAATTAGGTTTGTTCTAATAATTGCAGTTTTAGAAATTCATTAACACATACATAAACCAATGGGAAGCCAAATTCCTCCGTTTCCCAAAGGTAGCTAGTGTTGGCAAGAAAGGTACACACATGAATAGCCATTTCCTGGATTCATAGATCTGTTTTAGTCTCAAATGATCATAATTTTATGATATTTGCTTTTCATTGTTCTACTTTTCCAGTTTGACACATATCAGAATCAGTATTTTTTTTCTATGACCTTAATTTTCATCTTAATAATACTGTCAGATTAAAATTGCACATCTGGGAATGTATATGTGGCATAAATGTTAATGCTGTTGATGGAGGAGTTTTGATTGTTTTTGCTTTGAAGTGGGATAGATCCTGCTGTACCTGCAGATTTCAGTATACATGTTTTAAGTTCTACTTGAAAGTGTGTCTTCTTTTTTGGATGTGGTTTTAATCTTCCTACATACAGTGTGGTTAAACCACACTATTTCTCTAGACCCATCACTCTTTATTTCCACTATTCAGTAAACCTCCTCTGAGTATTTTGACCATAGCCATATTAAACACCCAGAACAGTCTGACACGTAATTACATAGAATTATATTTGCAGGACAAATAGTTTACAAATCATTTCTGATTTCTTTTCATTCTTGCACCCTGCCTTTTCCCATTTCTTCCATTCTCCTCTTTCTCCTATTGCTTTCTTCCTTCTTTTAGAATCTTGTTGAAGTTCTGGAATCTTTCCCATAAAAAGTGTAAAGGCGGCTTTGGCTCACACAGATCCACAGATTTGCATACGGTTTACAGACGGATAAATGCTTTGTGTACAACCTCTTGCTAAGGGGCCTGACAGCCACCGCCTGTCAGTAGCTGCAGTGCAGTTCGGTGGCAGTGTTACTTAGCTGTCTGAGGGTAATTAGCAAATCTAGGTCTGTTTTCTTTACTCTGATGTCATGCCACAAGATGTTGCTATGTGTTTCTATTAATTAACTAGTGGTATTTTGAACTTGAGTAAGACTTAACTTGTGATCCTATTAAATTTCATTGGATTTTCTTTTTAATATTAGAAGACATTCATTGTAAATGTCTTTTACTTTGAAGCATCAAATTGTTTTTCTTAATAGAATCCCGAAATTGTGACATGTAAGCCAGCTTTTTTCAGTCATTGTCTATATAACAGTGTTAGCATTTAGCAATTTTATAATGGAAGTAGGCAGTCCTGACTCCTGATTGAAACCGGCTGCTTTTCATCTCTTGCTGTGAAGGTGTAATGCATCAGGTCAAACACCTGGCAGAATCCGAGGCTTTGTTGACAAGTCCACCAAAGGTGTGTACCAATGGGTCAGGATCCTTGGGCTCCACAGCGCCTGTCACCAGTGCAGCGGCTACAGCGGCCACGAACGCCCCGGCTGACCTGGGCTCACCCAGCCTGCAGCACAGCAGGGATGATTCTTTAGATCTGAGCCCTCAAGGGTAAGTGGCAGTTTGTCTGTGACTTTCGTCGCTTTGCCTTTTGCTCTGTTTTGGTTCCTGAGACTCATACAGGGCAACACAGAACAGCGGTGTCCATTTCTCTGTTACAATTAGAGATGTCATTTGAATAAAGTTAATAGGTTTTGGAACCTCACAGTATCAAGCCATATGTTTAACTTACACGTGTGATTTTGGAGTTTTAGGCTCTGTTTCTGGTATTAAGAATTGTGATTATTGACTGCATTGTCACAGTCACTGATTGAAACTTGCAGTTACTGATACAATGAAAAATGTTAAAGACTGGAAGTTTTGGCAGTGAAGGCGCAAAAATCTGACTTCTTATTTGTCTTCCTAAGTTGGGAACAGATACTCTGTTTTTAGTAAAGGAAAACAAGTTGTTGAGTAAAATTTTCAGTTTCTGTTTGTCAATTCTTAATGTCTTATGTTCTATTAAGAGTGTTACTAAAACCCTCATTTTGGTTTTCATTTTGTAGTCTAGAAACAAATGACTTTCTAAAATGTGTTTTTGTCTGATGTTAGGTTTTTTCTCATGAAAATTGCTTAATGCATTATATTCAATCCTGAAATACAAAATGTACTCAGTCAGTGTAAGACTCCTTTTTCATTCATTTTACTTTTACAGTAGATGTTGGTAAAGCAACGGTGCTCACTAACTGGACCTTAGCAATTTAACCTACAAACTGCAGAGTGGTAGCTAGCCAGCCAGGTGAGGAGATTGCGGGTCACTGCTTCTGCAGCCTTCTGGTGGCCATTGCACACCTGTGGTTGCACCTCAGGGCCCACAGCTGTGTTAAGATGCTGCTGATTTGGAGTGGTACCCATGTTACTGGTCTGGACTGTGGACATTGAACTTGGAGCATATTGGCAACTCCCCACCTTTCTGATTTTGAGATTGCATATATCTGTCATACCTTCCAGTTTTGATATCCACTCCTTTTCCTTCATGGCTGTCCTCCCACCCCTAACTGCTAGCAGTATCCTTGTATTGTTGCTGTGGAAATTTGGCATACTATTGCCTGAGAGCCCCTAGGCACTCAGTAAGTTCCACAGAACTTAGAATGGAAGAAGAAAGAGCATTTTTCCTAACATTTTCAGGGCTGTAAGTAGTTATTTATTTTTTAGTAGGATTGCAAATGAAAAAAGTCATTTAATTTTATATTGGAAATTATTCAGCCACATTTAAGCTTACCCTTATGAAATTCACTTGTTTTATTAATTGATTTTATTCATTTGTTATCACTTGTCTATATATTTGAACACATTATTCTGTAGAAATGTCAGGTGTTAGAAGACTTTAAAGTTTTGTTTTAATTTGGACTCCAAGTGAGCCACTTTTGCATCTTTTCCATCTGCATGCCTTTGTTATTCTGAGAATCTATTACTGTTTAAAATTATGTCCACTATTAAGAACACAGGTTGATACTCAGTTTTATCTATGGTTCTATTTTGAAAAAGTTTATTTACATTGTTGCGCATTAGTGTTGTATATAGGCTAAAAAATGCTACTGAAGTGCATTCATTGAGGATGTTGCCATTGCCGCATCCATGGAGTTTCTTTGGAGAGTATACTGTAAATAGGAAAGTGTTTTGAAAGTAGGAATATTTCGCTGTTGCCATTTGTGTTTAGGAAGAAGCTTGGTAACTAGATTAAACATACTTTCCTACTTGGTGGCTAGAGTGTTTTTTGTTCTTTTTATACTTGTTTTGTATAACTGAACAAGACGACTAAAAACATAATTCCGTGAGGTTTTTTTAAAAAGGATTTCTGTGTATTTGAGACTGATAGAGAGATTTCTCATTCACTTCCTCCCCTAGAGGCCCACACACTGCGGCTGGGTCGGGCCAGGTAAAAGCTCTCCCCCCTCCCCCCGGCCAGGGCGCATGGATCCAAGTACTGTGCCATCACTTTCTGCTTCTCCGGTCACACTTTATCAGGAACCTAGAACTAGGAATGGAGTCAGAATTCAAGCCTATCCACTCTTTTTTGTATTTTTTTATTTTTGACAACCTTGACATAATTAGGGTTAAAAGGTTCATGCACTACAGGAAGATAGTTCTGTATTGCTTCCTTAATATATCTGATATAAAAGGAGATTTTAAGGCAGAAGCTCCTCCTAGTCTCCCACCCACCCCAGGTCCCAGATGTGGGGCATGCCCCAAGGGTCTCAAGTGGTTCCGATAATTCAACAGTTCCGAACCACTGCCACTCTCACCACCCCAAGCACGATGCGGTTGTTGGAGATTCCGCTGATCAACATGATCTATTATAGCGTCTCCGTCCGCCCAGTATTTTCATTGCCAACATATAGCTGAGGTGGTTGATTGACTTGTTCTGTCCTGTCGTTTGATGGGTAGCGTTCTGAATCCGAAAGCCCGATTGGGGGGATCCCCACAGAATCTTTGTCTGAGGTGTTCTCAGACCAGATTCTTGTATGCGCCAGCAAGAACAGGGCCCAGTACAGTCCATTGCCCCGATCAGCTGATGGTTACATTTACCGGGTTGGCTCTGTTTCCATCCCTGTCTTCCTCTGGAACCAACAGGTGTTTGCAATCCAGCCTGGTTCCTCCCAGCACACACCCAGCCCCCACATAACCCAGTGGGAGCTGCAGCCTACCCGGAGCGACCCACAATAATCCCAACCGGGCCTGCCTCCTACCCTGGTTTGCCACTATGTGTGGCAGACTAGTTCAGTTTGTCCCACATTCCCTTCTGCTCTTATATATGTCACTGTGTATTAAAACCTTGTTCCAACTAACCAGCTCAACTGTCCAGCCTTCACGGATGTTGTTGGGTGTCTGTCTAGCCACCCCAACCCCTTTCCTAGTTTCCATGCCCTCCCGTGGGGGGAAGCCTATCCACTCTTGATAAAAGATACAGGCACTCCAAGTGACATTAAATGCCTGCTGCCATGGCATATTCAGTACAGTCAATAGCTGTTTTTGTCTGAATGGTATATAGTCATTGTTAAATAATCACCAAGTGAAAAATGTTCTGTTGTGACAATATTTTGTAACTCATTGTTTTAGCCATTTTATTGAAGATACAAATTGGTGATGATTACTAAACTTATTCCATATTTTCCCATGTGACAGTCGATTAAGTGATGTTCTAAAAAGAAAGCGACTGCCAAAACGAGGGCCAAGAAGGCCAAAGTACTCACCTCCAAGAGATGATGACAGAGTAGACAATCAAGGTAACTATGGGTGAGACTCTGGGGAGCCAGGGGAGAAGCTAATAGCTGTTAAAGTATACTTGCTTCCTCTAGATCCAGTAGTCTTAGCTCTCTCAGGTAATTTAGTTACTATGAATGTTCATGTCACAATTCAAGTTGATTTTCATCAGTCATACTAAAACCATTTAACTGTAGTTGTTTTTTCTTCTAATAGCTAAAAGCCCCACCACTACTCAGTCACCTAAATCTTCTTTCCTGGCAAGCTTGAATCCAAAAACGTGGGGAAGGCTCAGCACACAGTCCAACAGCAACACTATTGAGCCAGCACGAACCGCAGGAGTTAGTGGTCTTGCCCGGGCTGCCTCAAAGGACACCATATCCAATAATAGGTGATGTGGGGGCAGGACGGGCTTGCTTGCTTCTGTTTCCATATTGACGCGGTTAGTGAGTGCATAGTTAGTAGGGAAATACTGCTTGGCTGCAAAACTTTTAACTCTGCCCTCTAACGGTCAGAGCCCTAGAGGGAGAGGCAAAGGCTCACTTGATGATTTCTGCCTCAGGCTCTGTCCTCATGTTCATCTTAACATTTCAAAACTCCTCTCAGTATCTCATCTTGGAAGTCATCTGTTCAAAACCAGATGGGACAAGTGAAAGTGGACATTTTTTGTCTACATGTTTCCCTGATAACATTTCCCTATTCTATCATGATGAAGCTTAATGATTTTGGAGCAGATTCTTTATTATAGAAGTTGGAACTTGGGCCCGGCGCGGTGGCGCAAGTGGTTAAAGGTCCTCGCCTTGCACGCCCGGGATCCCATATGGGCGCCGGTTCTAATCCCGGCAGCCCCGCTTCCCTTCCAGCTCCCTGCTTGTGGCCTGGGAAAGCAGTCGAGGACGACCCAAAGCTTTGGGACCCTGTACCCGCGTGGGAGACCCGGAAGAGGCTCCTGGCTTCGGACCGGCATAGCATCGGCCCGTTGCGCTCACTTGGGGAGTGAATCATCGGACGGAAGATCTTCCTCTCTATCTCTCCTCTCTGTATATCCGCCTTTCCAATGAAAAAATAATAAAAATAAATCTTTAAAAAAAAAAAAAAAAGAAGTTGGAACTTTATTAAGCTGTTTATTATTTAAAGTATTTCACATCACTTTATAGCTTTAAAAATCTTGGGAATCATTTTAGTTTTGGCCCTGGTCGTATAGTACTACTCTGAATTACTTCCTCTGTAAATATGAAACTTTTTAAATAAAATAGTGCCATTGGGAAAATATACATACTTTAAAAATTTTATTTGTTTAGTTACTATTTTTTTGAATTTCAGTTAACAACTAGTTAAGAAAGCCTAGGCCCCTCTGTGCCAGTGCCTGTTTGTGTTCTGTTGCTCTTCACTTTTGCTATCTGGGGAACACACGGAATGCGTAATCAGGGTGTGTCTGTACTTTAGAGAACAATTCTCAGGAATTGCATGTGGAAGTATTCTTAGGGGAACTATTGCATTTTAGGGTCTCTAGACATTAGGACACCTTGTTAGCCGTGTAATGACCTGAATTGTACTGTAAATACCTGTGTAGCGCTGGAGGCACACTTTAACCTATTTTCAAAATGAAACTTAATTTGGTTAATACAGAATCTGATTTTACTAACCTTCAAGCACTGGCCAAACAGGTTCTAAGTATAGTGGATGTTTGCTTTCGATCAGAAGTTGTAGTTGAGATCATTTCTGCACAAACTGAAACATTATCTCCGTTTTCCTGTTGTAGGGAAAAAATTAAAGGATGGATTAAGGAGCAGGCGCACAAATTTGTAGAACGTTACTTCAGTTCTGAGAACATGGATGGGAGCAACCCTGCTCTGAATGTGCTTCAGAGACTTTGTGCTGCAACTGAACTACTCAACCTCCAGGTACCTTGTCCTCGTCTCAGCTTCTAGCATCGTGCTTCCCACCGTGTAGTAAATGTGGTTTTGTAGGTACTGACCTTTCACACTGTCCTTACTGCCATCGCTCAGCGTCTTGTCACTAAATACGCTAGAAATCGCAACTTAGTTTCTATCACATCTCACATTTCCTTGGCATAAGAATTTTTTCAATGTCTCTTGATCATGTTTGCTCTTGGACTAATTGTTTCTAGACCTTTCTGCCTTAATTTAGAATGGGAAAGGGTAGAGGTTTAATAATACATTTCATCTGAGTCATAGTTTTCACTTTTTTTGACTTTTCAAACAATTTGGGCTCATAGTTTCCAACAAATTTTATAGCATTTTTTGGTCCTCAATTTATAGCCTTTTTTTCTCCTCAGTTTTTTATCATCTGTATATTACAGAGGTATGTTATGTGTGTGTTTTCACCTTCTGTAGTTATGGATCTGTGCGTTTCATTATGAAATATTTCATGTGTGGAAGGGGTTGGAGAGTGCATGTGTCTGGAAGAATCACTTCAGATAGGCCTTCCGGCACATAACTTAAGCTGTTGCTTGGGATCCCCTGTCCCACCCATTTAGGAGTGCTGTTGCTTTGAGACCCACCTCCTCTCATTTCTGATGCGGCTTTGGTTAGTGCATCTTTGCTACTCATGTGGGAGGCACAGGTGGACTTCCTGGTTCCTGGCTTGGACCTGATCCACTCTTAGCTGTTGCTGACACGTGTGGCAGTGAACCAGTGGATGGAAGATTTCTGTCATTCTACCTTTCAAGGAGATGAAGAGATGAACATCACAGAATGTCCCGCTTTCCTGAACTTTTTGTTTTAAAGCATTAAGAATGTGTTTGATTCCTTTGGAATGTAAATTAATAAAGAAATGCTTTCTCCAACTCTTTTCAGGTGGATGGTGGAGCTGAGTGCCTTGTAGAAATTCGTAGCATTGTCTCAGAGTCAGATGTTTCGTCATTTGAAATCCAACACAGTGGATTTGTGAAGCAGCTGTTACTTTATTTAACATCTAAAAATGAAAAAGATGCTGTTAGCAGAGAGATCAGATTAAAGAGATTCCTTCATGTCTTTTTTTCTTCTCCAGTAAGTTATCTAAAAATGCTTTTGTGTCTTAATGTAAGAATCAGTGTTCACTCTTCCATACGGTTTCATTCCAGTAATCATTTCCAGGAGGTCTTCATCCATAACCTGATTCCTCATCTGCTCATAAACATTTGGGTTCCTTGGACTCCTTTGTGTTATCAAAAGGTGTAGTTATAAAACAGACACAACACACAAGTTTATTTTTCAATTTCTGCACAGTATCTTGAAACTTTTTTTCCCTACAGTAGTGGTCTCGTTTCTGAATTTACTTGCAATGTTTATTTTTTCATATACTGCGTTTTGCTGTACCTTCTAGGAAAGTAATGATATGCATAATGCAGCTGTAATCATCAGAGAGGGTAGACATAGCTGTTTCTATTTGGTGTATAAAATAGGCTTAACAAATCTATTTAGGAGTGCTTAGTCACCATTTATAATGTGAGTCATAAGGCGGGAACCCAGAATCACTTCTGTTCTTCATTCTCTTGAATGTTATTGATTTAATAGTCTCCTGATTTACAGCTGCCTAGAACAAGGCATCCCTGAGAAAGTGTGTCTGTGTGACAGGGCTAAAGCACAGCTGGGGATGTCTGACTCACTGTAGAAAGCCCCCAGATCATTCAGCTGTGCCCTGCTCAGGCAGTTGCAGGTTGGACACAACATTAATTTGGTTTGATAAATTTGGCCTACCGATGCTGCAAGTTTCCAGTTGACCTTGGTATAAAAAAGGTTCCTGACCCTTTGGGGTAAAGGATAATAATCCTGTTATGTATTATCAAGGCTACTTCAACATGGATATGCAACATTTTTTTGTTATAAGTTATGGGGCTATCTTTTTCAGAACAGATGTTTATTGAAGGTTCATCAAATCTGTGTAGCAGTACTGGCCGTAGTCTTAAAACCATTCTAAAGATGATGTGCTCAATGAGTTTTTGTACCTCACATGGGAGGCCTGGATTGAGTTTTTAGCTCCCATCTTTAGTGCCACCCAGAGCTGTTAGGCACATTTGGAGAGTGAGCCACTGGATGTGGGAATAAACTGTCTCTCTGCCTCTCAAATAAGTAAATAACTTAATAAGGATTATGCGCATTTATATAATTTTATCTGAAACTTGATGTGTTTCTATAGTTCTATAATGCAGATTGGTATTCCTAATGATTCTGAACAACTGTACACAGCATACGGCTATTCTTAGGAAAACCAGTTAAAGACTAAGTCGTCTTTCAGCTGTGTGGGTCGGATTTTACATCATGTAACTGTTTTCAGAGCCCTTCCGGTGTAGAAATCGTTCATAAAGGATGGTGAGCTATGAAAAAGAATGTGATGTTGTGATTATACTGATCTGGAGACATTAGCCAGATCTGTTAGAAAAGATTGAAGTGAATACATGAGTATTTCATAAACTGTCTTAAAATTGTAAAGCCTTGTGTAATCTGTTGTTTCATTTATGCCATTAGCTTCCTGGAGAAGAGCCTATTGGCAGAGTAGAACCAGTGGGTAATGCTCCTTTGTTGGCATTAGTTCACAAGATGAACAACTGCCTCAGCCAGATGGAACAATTTCCAGTCAAAGTGCATGATTTCCCTAGTGGAAACGGGACAGGAGGCAGGTAAGGCCCACTGCCTGCGTGTGCCGTTGCTGTTGGGATTGCTGCTGAACTTGGCTGAGGTCAGATGGTAAGCGGTGTGGTCAAGTCGGTCTGCCTGAAGAACATTATTCTGAATAAGTATCTAAATTCTGACTACAGTGCTTTTTGTCTTTAAATCACGCTATAGATTTAACATAAAGTTTAAAAATATATATATCTCCCAGTGACATCTTTTTGGTAAAATGTAATAGGCCTAGTTTTCCTTAAATTAATAAATTTTAGTATATGACTTCTAAAAATTTTGTGGATATGGGCTAAAAAGTTTAAATTCTGTACAGTAATGACATTTATATATATGCAACTTACTTAAAAGCTTGATGGGTTTTAACAGATATGATTTCATTTTGAAGTTTTACCATTTAGTGAAAATCTTGTTTCTTGTCGATAATATTGGTAAAGACACCACTGCAGTAAGAATTTATTGCAAACATTATGTATTATGGGGAACTTTTGCTAACTTCATGGAATATTTTGATGGGAAGCATACAAAACAAGAAGTTTGGCTTTAAAATCTACATTTTCATGTATCTTAGAATATTTTTTTAAAAGCACTATTGAATTCAAGGATTTAGTGAGCGGTCATAGGTTTGAAATTCAGTGGGCTGTGTCCACTTTCATCATTATATTCTTGGGCAAGAACATCTGAAAGAGGAGTGCACTTCAGCTGTGCTTGAGAAAGCTGCCACTTTTGCTAAACTTTGTGTAAGACTTTTATGTATACATTAATAAGATGAGATACTCTTTCCCGTATCCTGTAACTGCACTTGAAGCCTGTCCAGACCCACCTCTTTGCAGTACTTTATGTGGCTAGGTGTCAGCTGTTGTGGATGTGACCTGCTTTGTACAGAGGTACACATCAGCAGGTTTAAAGGTTAACTTTCAAAGTAGTTTTGTTCTGACATCTTCAAAAGCCAAAGCAGAGATGTTTATCTTTGTTTTGTAAATAGAATTTATTGGGAAAGGGCAAAAGTTTGCAAAGGTGAACATGTTAAATATTTGAGTAATTTGTATTCCAGAAAATTAACAGGCATCTATGGTGAGCAATTTCTACTCACTTGGATTCCTAGTGAGACAGAGATTGAATGTTGACTTCCTATTTTCAGATCATGCATGCATAGTCATTTATAATATCTTTTTCTGAATATCTTAAATTTCTAACTTTATCATTTACAGTGCTGGTAAGTGTTTCCTTATGCTTTCAAAAATTCAGAACTTGCATTATCTTTTGTTTTAATTGGTATATATTGTGAAAATAATAGAATAACTTTTTTTCACAAATTATCTTGAGCTTTTCTCTCAACAGAGGATCACAGGCTTTAAAATTTTTCAACACACATCAGTTGAAATGCCAGTTACAGAGGCATCCAGACTGTGCGAATGTGAAGCAGTGGAAGGGCGGCCCTGTCAAGATAGACCCCCTGGCTTTGGTCCAGGCTATTGAAAGATACCTGGTTGTCAGAGGTACATTGGATATATCTTTGCACATTTATGTTATGTGTATTTTTTATGAAGTTTACTTGAATTGTTTTCCTGTTACATGCTCTTTCTACTAAAACCTAGACGATGGAAACATATGTGATTTTTGTGTGAGCTTTCTGCACTCTGGAGTGATTAGCTAATTTATTGTAATTGGATAATTTTTAAAGATTTTTTTACTTCAAAAATTAGAGTGTAATTACATGTATGTTTTTCTACGAACATATTAGTTTCATAACTATATCCATGCCTCCTTTGCTTGCTGCAGTTGCTGGGAGTTTAACATTCTTTTGGGTGTTTAGGTTATGGAAGAGTGAGAGAAGATGATGAAGACAGTGATGATGAGGGCTCAGATGAGGAGATAGATGAGTCTCTGGTAAGGTCCCATTCCCACTGTTCTCTAACACGCTGTTTAGTGTTTCACAATTTTAGTTAACTTCTAGGCAGCCGAAGTTGGAAAATAGAGAATTCCAGAAATAAGCAGTTTCTAAATGTATATTTATTAGTTCTTATTGTATAGAATTGTCATATTTTCTTGTTGTTAGTCTCAAGTGCATAACTAATAAATTCTCTTTGGTCATAGATATGTACTTTGAGTGTCCCTAATAGGAAATAGAGTGTAAAGTACAAAATTGCACACCTTCACTTAGGTGATGAGTCACAGTCAGAATAGTGGTGCATTGAAAGTGTCAGATGACCTTCTGACTGCGTTACTGGGTGTGTAGGACACATGAGTGAGTTGAGTGGACTCAGGTCCTGTCCCAATGTTCCTGATTTTTTTATGCAGATATTTTGCAGTCTCAACCACTGCTAGTGTCAGACATTTCCTTTCAGAAGTATCCAGTGTATAAAGTTTGGTACTCTCTACTGTTTGGGGCACTCACTAGGGGTTTAGCAGCATACTGTAGCAGTTAAAGGGAGAGTAATGTCTAAAGGTCAGGACTTGAAGTTTAAATGGATTCTGCTTTGTTTATTCAGGCTGCTCAGTTCTTAAATTCAGGAAATGTAAGACACAGGCTGCAGTTTTACATTGGAGAACATTTACTACCGTATAACATGACTGTGTATCAGGCGGTCCGGCAGTTCAGCATACAGACTGAAGATGAAAGAGAATCTACAGATGATGAGAGCAATCCCCTTGGAAGAGCTGGGATTTGGACAAAAACTCATACAATATGGCAAGTCTAAAAAATTTCTTTTGGCATTTCACAAGCTTTGGAACCTATTAAGTTAGTGACTGGAGTTTCTAAGGAGAAGGGACCGTATATTTTCCACTTACTAAGAATTACTTCAGATATATATCCTTTCCCTCATGGGAAATAATAATTTACATCTGCTTTTTTGAAATAATTCAAATCTTAAAAACAAAAATCCTTCCATAAAATGATGCTTGCTTAGCTGACAAATTCGACATCTTTGAGTCTTTAAACTTCTTGCACGATCCTTATGTGGCTGCTACTTAGGTTTTGAGAGAGCCAGTCTACCCAGAATTTCTTCCGTAACTTCTCCCAGGAAGGTGGTCCGTGCAAGAAGTGTGTTGTGGCTGTGACTGTCTGAATTCAAACGAAGGAGAGTGTGGACCTTCAGGAGTTCTTGAAGTTCTCGATGGTGTCTGTGGTGTTTCACTTTTTACCTGTGTAGGGTATAGTTTTAAAATCTACATACCCTTTCACCCTGTCAGGTACAAACCTGTAAGAGAGGATGAAGAAAGTAATAAAGATTGTGTTGGTGGTAAAAGAGGAAGAGCCCAAACAGCTCCAACGAAAACGTCCCCTAGAAATGCAAAAAAGCACGATGAGTTATGGCATGGTAAGATAACAGCGTAAGACCGGTTGTCCTGGGCAGTAGTCTTCCTGTTTTCTTGGTGTTAAGGTGGGATTTATATCTAAGAGTAAAACTGAAATATAATTTAGAAATAAAAATTACAAATACAAGTTAATTGGATGCTTGACTTTAGTGTTGAAAAAATTAACAGGAAATTAAATTTGAAAAGAAGATTGGGAAAACTTTATTACATGCTTTCTAAGAATTTCATGTTTTCATGAAGGCTGAAACAAATATGTGTGAATATCTGCTGAAGAGGACACTGATAGGAGCAACTCTTCATTGGCAGATTTTCTCTTTATTATTGCATATTATGTAGCAATTATAAAAGTAAAAAATGATGTCAGATGTTAAGATCACATTGAAGGGCCCGACACATGGCCTAGCAGCTAAAGTCCTCGCCTTGAACACCCCGGATACCATATGAGCACTGGTTCTAATCCCAGCTGCTCCACTTCCCATCCAGCTCCTCCTTGTGGCCTGGGAAAGCGGTCAAGGACAGCCCAAAGCCTTGGGACCCTACACCCACATGGGAGACCTGGAGGAGGCTCTGGGCTCCTGGCTTCGGATTGGCTCAGCTCTGGCCATTGCGGCCACTTGAATGAATCATTGGAGAAAAGATATTTCTGTCTGTCTGTCCTCCTCTCTGTACATCTGACTTTGCAATAAAAATAAATCTTAAAAAAAAAAAGGTTGCATTGGAGTGGTCAACTTTGGCTGTTAGATAGGAAAATTAAAATTCCCTACATCTGGATGTCTTATGTTTAAGATTAAAAGAAATCATGTGTATCCTATTAAAATACAAAACATTAAAATAGTAATCTTTAGTTACTTATTCTTCAGCAGAGAGAAAAATTCCACTGACTGTTCCTGACTTAAGCCTTGCTAACTTGCCCAAAGCTGACTTTTTTCTTTTCTTTTGCTTTCTAGATGGAGTGTGTCCATCAGTATCAAACCCTTTAGAAATTTACCTCATTCCCACACCACCTGAAAATATAACTTTTGAAGACCCGTCATTAGATGTGATCCTCCTTTTACGAGTTTTACATGCCATCAGTCGATATTGGTATTACTTATATGATGTGAGTAATGTTGAGTAATACGAAGTTTTCATGATCTGTCATCTCTGGGTTTCTGTTTAGTGATTGGTGAATCTTTTACTTCACTAGAAACCAAAATCGTGAGTCAAGTTAATGCAGGAATCCTAGCTCTGTGAAATACAGTGTACTTACCCATAGAAAGTTCTCTACTTTCTTTTCATTCATTCCTATATGCTTGAATTTTCTGCAAATTTTTTAGAATATTAGATAGCTCTAGATTTATTTAGCTATAACATGAAAGTGAAAGATTACCTTATTATCTCTAAAGTGTTTGGGCTTATTTAAAATTTTGTTGCAATAGTGATGTATATAAAGTAATAAAAATCATGTGCTGCTCTTCATATGTAACATAGGGAAGAGGAGAAACAGGTGATTTTGTATGACATATAGTAACTGTCCCAGCGATACCTGAGCCAGTGTATGTGGCCTGTGTATTCTGAAGGTGAAGGGCAGCAGTGTAATGCAGCACGGTGTCTGCATTGGGACACCTCAGTGATGAACTGCAGTTTGCTGTGTGAGCATGTTGGAGATCAGCAGGTGAAATCCAAACATTTGTGTGGAATGAAGAGATCGTGAATGTAATCCTAATGTTTTACTCCATACTTTTTAACGTTTTCCAGAATGCAATGTGCAAGGAGATTATTCCAACTAGTGAATTTATTAACAGTAAATTGACAGCAAAGGCAAATAGACAGCTTCAAGATCCTTTGGTAATCATGACAGGAAACATCCCTACATGGCTTACCGAGTTAGGCAAAACCTGGTAAGAATCGCTTCAAATGGTCGCCTTGAGGGGGTTAGGGGTTGCTCTGTTATAGAAATACCTTTATGATAGTATTGAAACATTCAACATTGTTGAGTTTGGTTAAGATACTAGTTAAGTGGAATTAGTATTGTCAGTTTATACAAAACAGAAAGTGTCCAAGGATATTTCAACTGAAGAGGGTAAAAATCCTCTGCCATAATAAAATTGGACTTCAAAGAGATAGTGTCTCATTCTCTGAGCATGAGCAAGAGATGCTAAGACTGTACTGATGGTACATTTGCCACTGGTAATACCCTGCATGGAGTTTTTCAGCTGTTTGAGCGATGTGACGTGCCTGCAGTGTAAAGAGAGAGGATGTGTAGGCTGCCGTAGGGAAGTGGTTCTGGCAGCTTCGTAAAGAATCATTAGGATCCTGCATCACAAGGCAGTGGGATCTTCCTGTACTAAAACTAGGATGGGCTCCTTCTTTGAAAGTCAGTAGCTGCCATTTGGGCAATGTTCGGTGGCTTAGTGTTACCAGCACTAGGAGGAAAATCATGAAGTAATGATGCTTGGATATATGTGATAGTCTGAGGTGGCTGTGTTCATCGCACCAAGAAGTGATGGTCATGTTTTAAAAGTTAACTTGAGTTAGTCATGTTGCTTACCAAAAACCTTGAAGTAGGTTAAAGATGATTTTGGATAGACTTCAGGATAGGATTTTACAAATTAAAATTAAATTTTTGCATTGGGAATTTACTTAATTATTTAATTGAAATGTCAGTAAGAATTATGAAATTTTAAAAAATGATTTACCCATGCTGTTTTTAATTATTTATCATAATTGTGTATCATATCAAAAGTTATTTCTGTTACAGGCTTTTTTTTAATGGCTTGTAATTATTATCGAGGTAATCAATTTATGTTGCTTTGTTTTTGCAGCCCCTTTTTCTTTCCTTTTGATACACGGCAAATGCTTTTCTATGTAACTGCATTTGATCGGGACCGAGCAATGCAAAGATTACTCGATACCAACCCAGAAATCAACCAGTCTGATTCTCAAGACAGCAGAGTTGCACCTAGATTGGATAGAAAAAAAGTAAGTTTCTCCCAAAAGTATTTCAATAGACTGAACTTTGTATCATAATGGGAAAACTAGGCCTGTAGCTTCCCTAAGTATGCCTGTTGGTTTCTGAGGGCTGGATTAGACAGTCATCTATCTAGCCATACTGTCAGTCGTCTGGAGCTGGTCTCTCTGAGATACTCTTCATGCTGTACTAAGTCCCTTTTAAGGAGTGCCTGACATACTTTATACAGTTCTTTTCTTTCCCTTAGTTGCCCTGTTTCTGATACCAAGAATGAATCGTGTCTTGCTCTACTGTGAATTCCTTTTTTTCTGACTCTGGAACACAAACTGTGGCCTCCTTTTTAAAATTGCTTCCTTATCTAGTAGGTAGAATTGATCAGATCCATTTTGTTCTCTAACTGTTAGAGACTAAAGCAGAATCCTTCCAATATGTGAGGTCTGTGTACTAGTACTGGTGTTGCTCATCTCCATTGAAGGGCTCCTGATTTGCTTCCACAGGCTGTAAACTACAGTACATGGGCCGGGTCTGTCCAAGACCTCCTCCTGTCTTAACATTCCTTCACGGCACTGTGGTTTACATGGACCTGCCTGCTCGGCAGCCTTTTTGTTCATTATTGGAGACGCTCTTAGTCCCATGAATGATATTTATAGTTACATGAAAGGTAGTTTAGGGAATAAAGAAACAAAACCGGAAACAAATAGTATAATTAAAAGCGAACCATACTGCTCGCATCTGTTTTTCCCCTTCAGAGTCTACAAGCAGCAGTGTTGGCATGGTAGAGTCATCGAGCAGGGTCTGATTCTCATTAGCAGTGTCTGTAAGATCTTAACGTATTAGAGCCAGCAAGTTTGCAGCTCACCTGTCTCACTGGCTATTACCTGTTTGACACACAAATACCTGAGATGAGCTAGTTAGAAACGGGTTGTACTAGGGAGTTCACAGTCCAAGAGCAGGCTGGACACATTGGTTGATTAGTGGGGCAAGAGGATGACCACAATGTAGCACACACAAAGGAATGGTCACAAGGTAAGTCAGAAAATAGAACTGGCGCATGAGGCTCACCTCCGGTACTTAACCAGCTTCTCGCAAGAAAGCTCCCAGAACAGGTCACCAGGGCCCTGAGCTCTCAGGCTTCTGTTAGACTTGTTACCAAAGATTGCAGATGACATGTCCTGCCATCAGCCCATGACGTTTGAACTTAGCTGTTAACACAAATATGTTCAAACAGTAGTACCTGCCATCCCCACACCTGTTTCTCTCTCTGCCATCCATGAAGGTGAAGATTTCATGAAGCTTCTACCCACAATTGCAGTGGCCAAAGTAGTAGAGATCTTGCCTTTTCAAATATGAGTTTTCTGAATTTAGTGTTAACTAAAGATACATAATAATTACACTTGCCTTGAATTTCCTGCCGGAATTCCAGGATGCTTTGGCTGTACCAATACTGCTACTTAACCTTTTTGAGTTGAGTTGTGCTTTTATAGAAAGTATTTTAGTAATTGCATTAATTTGCATCTCAAAAAATCTCCCCTGTTAATTGCAGTGTATTGCAAGTAGCCCATGATTTCCTCATATGTGTGCTTTCTCTGTAGCGCACTGTGAACAGAGAGGAGCTGCTGAAACAAGCCGAGTCTGTGATGCAGGATCTGGGCAGTTCCCGGGCCATGTTAGAAATCCAGTATGAAAATGAGGTGAGCTCTTGATAAAATGTCCTGTGACTGTTTTGTATGTGAAATTTTGAAAGACAAGTAGCTTAAAAACTGAGATTGTTCTGTTTTCTCTTAATTTGTTCTAAGGTTTCTATTTTTCAGAGGGTTGCCTTTATGATAACAAATTTTCCTGACATAGGGGGACATTTGTATAAATATTAAGTTGATAAGGAATTTTAAAAAAAGATTTATGTTTATTTCAAAGTCAAATTGAAAGGGGATCAAAAAGACTGCTTGCAAGCACGCCTCTGTCTACTGGGTCACAACCAAGTTGCTGGATTGGAAGTGAAGCAGCCAGGATGTGAGCTGGCAAGCCATGTAGAATGCCAAGTTCACAGGAGGCAGTTTTACTTGCTGTGCCACAGAGCCAGCCTCAATGAAGGGTACTTGAAAAAAACTTTGAAAATAGTTGAGCTGCTTTTCTAAAAAATTAGGTTTACTGAAATATTTATACTTCTTAAATTTTAATATTTTAAAGATGAAGGGGTTACAGATTCATCTAGGCCTCTGATTCTGATTAGCATGGGAGGGTGTAAAGAAGTTGGGTGAGGTCAGTGTTTCCGCTTTGCCTTGGGTGTCGGCTAGCTCCCACAGGGGGCAGCAGGAAGTAGGAGAAAGTGCGCCTTTCCCTGCTGCCGCACTGTCAGCACGTGGCGATGGAGGTAATGTTCCAAGGGGGTTATTTGAGTGGTCTTGATCGTTCTGGAAAGTTGTTGGCTTTGTTACCCCAGAGGTCAAAAATTTTGAGCCGTGTTGGCTGTCCTTGTCTATCTCAGTGTGCTCAGACACAGGTGCTGATTGTAGAGCCTGATCTGAAGTGCCGTTCAAACCATGCTTCTTTCCATCTTTTGATGAAGTTCTTGAAGTCTTCTGTTGGCTTAGATGTTCTGTCATGTTTTTCGTGTTCAATTCTTACACAAGGGGTGCAACCGTGGTGGCCCTGTGCGGGTGGTAGGGGCCCAGACTTGGGTTTAATCTGCTGCTTTCCTAGGCCTGTTAGTAGGGAGCTGAGTCGGAAGCAGGGTGGCCACAGTTTGCTATGGGTTGTGACCATAACCACCACACCATCACGCCAGGATGTAGGTGTCTACATGATTAACATGTGTTCATTCCTGTACTCTTACGGACTTTAAATGACACCATCAGTGGAATCGAGTCTTTGTGCAGACCTATGTTTTTTTCACCTCTTGCATGAATAGTTATTTGGTAAGGTAGAGTAAGCTGTTTAAGGAAAATAATATCAAATTGTTTTCTTAGTGGCTGGCTTTTTAGATTTTACATTCATTCCCACCTAGTAATTTAACATTTGTGAATTTCAGGTACCTGGAGTGGGTTACAGTGGTCACTAATTGTGCTTTTAGTCTACAGTTCCCTGTTGACTAATCGTTTCAATTCTCATTGCTTCTGATCATTCATGTATCTTCTTTGTGTATTAGGAATTTTGCTCACTTATTCATTTGCATTATTGTTTGACTTATAAGTTCTTTTATTCATTACAAATAGTCATTTATGGTATCTTTAGAGCTATAGGATTTATTCATTATGAGAAATTAGTTTATTTGTATCCTCAAATGTCTTCCCCTCAAGCTTGGTCTCACTGTTTCACTAGAAGTTGCAATTTTACCTCTTAGTCCATGATTCATGTTAATTCAGCTTTTATATATGGTATCAAGTAATGCTTAAGGGTCTTCTATTGCTTGCTATTTATTACTAAATATAGACATCCAGTTTTCTAATACTGTTTTTGTTTTGGCTTTTGGGGGTGGGTGGGAGGAAAGGTCATGGTCCCCTCTGTGGATTCTATTTGATTTTATTACCATTTTATAATAAGTCTTATTCAAGGAGTGAGTTTCTTTGTTTTTGCTTTTTAGAGATTTGATTATTCTTTATGTGTATTTCTATGTAAATTTTAGAATTGCCTTGTTGATATCTATAAAAATGGACAGTGTTTAGACTGAAGTATTTTTTTCTAACTTAGATCATTTTAGAGAGAAGAACCTGCTTCATATTATTGTATCTGGTGTTCCATGGTAACTTAGATGTAACACTTACTTAGCTGTTCAATTTTTACTTATTGTTTCATGATTAAAGTCTTAAAGACCCTTGCTGCACAGATATTGTTAAATTTCTCTGGCCATATTGATCTTTTATCTGTGAAGTACTGTTTGGGTTAGTTGATACAAACACAGTTTTTATAGATTGACCTTGTTTTTTATTATCTTAATAAGCTTAATTTAGTTTTAAACTTTCTATTGTAATTGAGGATTATGGTAGGGCTTGAGAAACTTCTGTTTAATACCAGATGATAAAGGCTTCAGAGTTGATGGGTGTTAATTCAGTCTGTTATAGCTACTTAATTCTGCATTTGTAGTATTTGAAGGTGACAGTAAAGGTAGTGTTTGAATATCAATTAGTGAATGTGACTGTGTTCTTACAGTTTGTATAATTTTTACACATCATGAAAATAATACTCAGGTTCACTGCTCTCTTCCCTAGCCCCCAACTGTTCAAGTAAAACAAGCAGTCTGGCCTACAGTACATAGCTGGCCGTGGGCCAGAGCTGCTATAGTCTGACTCATGAGCTGTGACTCGACAACTCCTAGTGTAAATAACCATCTCATATGTGAATAGAGTTTTCTTCTTTGTCTTACTTTCTTTGAGATGCTTTTAAGCAACTAGGACAGTATACCAAAAGATCTCTATTCTCTAAAGGCAGAACTTCCCTGAACTTGTTATGGACTTAATTTTCAAGAATTCCATCATACCAGTTAATTATTGATGGTAGCCGACTGTTCTCTTCCTCAGTTTTCTTACTTATAAATAAGTGCATTCGTAGTGCAGCCTCTCAGCTGTGACTGCATTCCTGTGTGCACAGTTGAGATGTGTCTGGCTAATGCTAAGTCACCAGTTTAATCTGCAAGGTTAGGTGTATATATTCGGGGAGTGTTGAACTGAGTTTACTTTCATTATTTTTTGGTTTTTATACCTTGGTTTGATTTTTTAATATTAATTTTACTTGAAAGTCAGAATTTAATTTACGTATATTAATTTACTAGAGAGAGGAAGAGACAAGAGATCTTTCATCCATTGGTTCTCTCCCCAAATGGCCACCGTAAACAGAGTAAAGCTGATCTGAGGCCAGGAGCTTCTTCCTGATCTGCTGCTGCATGAGTGCAAGGTCCCAGGGCTTTGGGCCATCCTCCACTGCTTTCCCAGGCCCTAAGCAGGGAGTTGGATGGGAAGTGGAGCAGCTAGGACACAAACTGGTGCCCATGTGGGAACCCAGCACTTGGCAAGGGGGAGGATTAGCCTGTTGAGCCATTGTACCCATTTTTAAAATGTTTTCTTGAATTTGGTTTTGCTTCTGGAGTCTTTTCCAAGAAGTTCTTGCATACTGCTATGTCTTGCAGAGTTTCCCTGTTTTTTCCCTTTTGTAATTTGATGGAATTCAGTCATAGCTCCTCTGCTAGGTCATATACAGGAACTAATCTGGGTATGAAACACCCTCTGGTGGATGCTTTATGTTACTGCAGACATTTTTGTGTGTGTTCTGGCCTTGAATTTGCTCCTCTCCTCCAGTGTCCAGATTGTTTGTTTTGGGAAGCTGATAAACATACCTTTATGTACACATACACAAGTTAGTCTGTATGATGAATAAAGGAAAATAAAATGGAAGGTGTTGGGTAGGTAGTGGGTTGACTTGCCATGTCTGTCTGTGCTGATTGAGGGAAGCATATCTGGCCAAAGAATTGAGAGGCCATTTTCCTAGCCTGCTGGAGGATAGGTGTGGCTGGGGCATGATGAGCATAGGGTTAAGGGGCAGGAGTGAGGCCAGAGATAACACAAGAGGGATCCCATAGGATGATATGGCCCTGGGGGAGCCTGAACTTACTTTGAGTGAGTAAGTATTCGCAGGGTGTGAGAATTGCTCTGCATTTCTGCACTCTTGATGCTGTGACAGTGTGTGAACAGAGACTGTCCAGGAAGCTCAACAGCTCAGAGAAGAGGGATGTGATGATTGGATACAGTTGGTCATAGAGTATATTTTATTATTTTTAAAGATCAACTTATTAATTTGGAGACAATCATAGAGGGACATGGAGGGAGTATAAGCATCTACCTGCTGCCTTCAGTGGTCAGAGCTGGATCAAAAGTGGAATAGCTAGGATGTGAGCCAGTGCCCATGTGGGATGCTGACTTTCCCTGTGGTGGCACTACCCACTATACCACAGTGCCCATCCCAGAATTCAAGGCAGCACCTACAGTGTTTACTGATGGGTTTGACTGTAGAAAATAAGAAAGAAAAAGGCCCAAGGGTGGCTGCAGGATTTGTTGGGACATTCACTGTGTAATAAAGCTATGTAGTTAGAAAGCATCATTCGGTTTGAGCCAATCACTGTAAGAAAAGGCAGGATTCAAAGCCAACACTGTGGCACAGCGGGTGAAGTTGTAGCCTTTAGTGCCAGAATCTCGTATGGGCACCAGTTCAAGTCTTGAGTACTGCGCTTGTGATCCAGCTCCCTACTAATGTACCTGGGAAAGCAGAGGATGGTCCCAGGGCTTGGGCCCTGTGCCCACGTTGGAGACTTGGAATAAGTTCTGGGGCTCATGCCTTTTGGCCTGACGCAGCCTGGCTGTTGCATCCTTTTTGGGGAGTGAGCCAGCAAATGGAAGGCCTGGTCTTCTCTTCCCTCCTTCATTCCTCCCTCCTGCTAGTTCTCCCTCCCTCCCTGCTTGTGCAGTAAATAAATATTGAAAACAGGGATGCAAAGGCCGGATTCAACTTTAGGTGGGCTAAATCACATCTGTTGTTAATTACCTTTAAAGTAATTGTGATAAAGATTGAATGTGCTTTATTTTTAAGTAATCTGTAAGTGGATTGTAGACTTCTTGAGAGAATTGTGGTCGGATGTCACACATGGACTTTAATGAATCCATCATTTGGCTGTGCATCTTTTTACATTCTGAGCTGATATAGCTGAGGGAACCTCAGAAAATGAGACTGAGAACACTGTCCTGACCGTGCCTATGTCCCAGGTACCTGGACGGATAGTTTTATTCAAGGCTGCGCCGTCACCTCTGGCACTTGTTTAAGGCTATACAGTAGATCTCTTTAGGGCATGCCCCTTCTGTATAGGGATGCCAGTGCACGGCAGGGGCTCAAGAAGCCCCTGTATGAAGTGAAAAACTGTAGAAACCTGAATTAACTCTGCCATGCTGATGTGAGCTCAGACTGCAAAGAGAATAGAGCGGAGAACTTCCTGTGCAGGGGAGGGGTTAGCTGAGTAGTTAGGATGCCCATGTCCCACGTTACAGTTGCTGGGCTGGCTTCCTATCCTACTCCTGGCCTTGGGTTCCTGCCGCTCGTGTGGAGAACTGGAGTGCTTTTAGCTCCTGAGTTTTTTGGTCCCAGCCTAGAACAGCCTTGGTCATTTCTATTCAGTCTGATTCTCAAATAATTTTTTAATTTAAAAATCTGTATATAGAGAGTGAAGTACTGAATTGCTGTTGCTTCTCCAAGGTGTCCAGGACTGAAGGAGCAAATACAAGCAGGTGGTTTGGAAAGCAGCTCTCATGCATTCTGCTGACCCGCTGTTGTTATCCATGTTGCCGGGAGGGTGGCAGGTAGAAAGAAGTACCACTGTTTCTGCGACTTACAGTTGTTCTGTTTTTGCTTCTCTGTAGGTTGGCACAGGTCTTGGACCAACACTGGAGTTTTACGCACTTGTATCTCAGGAACTACAGAGAGCTGATTTGGGTCTCTGGAGAGGTGAAGAAGTAACCCTTAGCAATCCAAAAGGTAATACTGCCCTGTCAGTTGTTCCGTTAGCCAGTGTCATTCAGATCACATCACGGATCCTAAAAGAGCTCGTTAAATAGAGCTATGCTGATGGAGTTTCTCTTGGCCTGTTTCTTTTTTTCTTTTTTTTTTTTTAAAGATTAATTTGTTTATTTATTTGCTGGAAAGTCATATATACAGAGAGGAGAAAAGAGGAAGATCTTCTGTCCACTGATTGACTCCTTAAGTGGCCGCAATGGCTGGAGCTGAACCCATCCAAAGCTAGAAGCTTCCCCCAGGCCTCCCACGTGGGTGCAGGTCCCAAGGCTTTGGGCCATCCTCAACTGCTTTCCCAGGCCACAAGCAGGGAGCTGGATGGGAAGTGGACCCGCCAGGACGTGATTTGGCACCCATATGGGATTCTGACGCATGCTAGACGAGGACTTTAGCTGTTAGGCTACCACACTGGTCCCTCTTAGCCTCTTGTTTCCTAATATATCCTCTAGAGATGACTCTTCCAGCCTTAATGATCTTTGTTTAAGGATTTGTTCTCCAGTTTTGAGAAATCTGAGTTTCGTAAGTATTTTTTGTTATCTTGTTTTGTTTTGATTTTGGAAATAGACAAATTTTGATGGACTATTTCTCTTACAGGAAGCCAAGAAGGGACCAAGTACATTCAAAACCTCCAGGGCCTATTTGCACTTCCTTTTGGTAGGACAGCTAAGCCAGCCCATATTGCAAAGGTTAAGATGAAGTTTCGCTTCTTAGGAAAATTAATGGCCAAGGCTATCATGGACTTCAGATTGGTAAGTTGAGGCTGATTTTCTTAGCCTACAGTTGGGATGTATGAATGTCCAGTTGCCTGTTCTCAATGTCCCTCCAACTCCATACCTGGACTGCTTGGTAATTCTCTGAATTGTGTGCTCTGACTGCATAGGACAGGGAGGAGTGTGCCTCTCTGCCCAATCTGAGGGCCACCCCTTGGGCGGTAGGGGTTCTCATACCCAGGCAGCTAGTGCAGGGTGGATGCAGTGAGCGGGCGTGAGCTTGTGGCTTACCCTCATCATAGCTCCTTCACTGTGCTGCTGTGACAATAACCCAGGGAGTCAGTGTTTATGGGGGTTTGAAGATGTGTAGATGGCTTTCCTTTCCTCGTCTCACGTGTTTTGATACTTAAGCTAAGACTCTTGAACCTGGTGTCAGAGGTTTGTATTTCAGTATAACTGGAAAGTAGAGTTTATCCATTGATTTATTATTTTAAATATTATAAAGAATCTTTTTGGTCTTTTTTGCTTTAGGATATTAGTATAGACTAGAGTAGATTTTAGTTGGCCCAAAATAGTTAGATTCTTCAAAATTTGTGTATGTGAAAATAAGAGTTACAGAGAAAAGGAGAGACTAATCTATCTTAAATCTGCTGCTGCACTGCCTAAATGGCCACAGCAGCTAGAGCTGGGCTGTTACAGAGTTGAAGGTGGGTGTAGCAGTCCACCCATGTGAGCCACCCTCTGATGCCTTCCCAGGCCTTTTCAGGAGGTTGGATCAGAAGTTGTAAGGCCAGGACTTGAGTCAGTGCGCATGTGGAATGCTGGTGCTCCATGCTCAGGTGTAGCCATGATTCTAGCCCTGAAATACTGTTTAATGTTAGTATTTATATAGAATGCCTTACTAAATGCTTCCCTATGATCCTGAATCCCAGATTGGGCTATCCCAATTCTACATAGTGAGATATTTCATAATCCACTGTTTTCTTGACCTGATCAAACATTCATTAGAAAACTGAGGTGGCAGTGATTCACGAATCTCAGGGAGGCGTGGTGATATTTTGCATATTCTCTTTCAGGTGGACCTTCCTCTTGGTTTACCTTTTTATAAGTGGATGCTTCGGCAAGAAACTTCACTGACGTCACATGATTTGTTTGACATTGACCCAGTTGTAGCCAGATCAGTGTATCACCTAGAAGACATTGTCAGACAGAAGAAAAGACTTGAACAAGATAAATCCCAGGTAGGCTTAGGTGTGGGCAAGTGGCCCCTTCCTGTATGTTAGAAAAACGAACCTTTGCTCAGAAGTTTGAATTTGACTTCACTGTATTATTAATGTGTCAGTATAGAAGAGCTAATTTTATTACACTAACTGAAACTGATGGGTCAGATGACTATATATAGTTTGATTTACAAGTGTGTGTGTTTTTGAGTGAAAACATAAGAACTCCAAATGTTAGAAACAACCTGTTGTGTATGTGGACAGACACTGTAATATAGTGATTTTTTTTGTTGTTGTGTTTTTGTTTTTTATCGTTTGTTTATTGAAAGGCAGTTACAGAGATATATCTGTCATTCATTGCTTCACTTCCCAGATGGCCACAGTTCCTGTGGCTAACCCAGGCTGACCGCAGGTAGTAGGAACTCCACGCAGGTCTCCCACGTGAGTGGCAAGAGCACGGGCGCTTGAGGCCATCTTGTACCGCCTTCTCACAGGACCAGCAGCAGCTGGGTCAGAAGCAGAGCAGACAGGCTTTGATACAGGACGCTGTGCCACAGGTGTCAGCTTAACCTGTCGCACCACTAGGCTGACCCCAGAGGAAATTCCTTTTACTAAGCTTTTAAATTAAACTTACTAAACTTAAATCCCAATTTTTTCTACTCTGCCAACTTCTCAGTGACAAAACTACTTGCTTCAGTTACCATAATTTTGTTACCATATATTTGTTCAGTTTTGAGTTTTTATAGGTATCCTGAAGAGTGACAGGATATAATGCATTAATAAAAAATACAATTGGGATACATTTATTTTTCAGGAAACATAGCTTAATTAGAATTATCCATTTGTTTTACATGTGGCAATTCACTTAATCCTCAGCCCTTTGGGATTCAGATGTTCTTGTCATCTCTGGTGTAGATTAGGAAAGCCAAGGCAGATAGGCTGAACAACCTTCCTTGCACCTGTGAGCTAGAATGAAACCTAGGCTCCAGAGCCCACCCCCTTGAAGTTTGCGTCCCTTTGTTGGATGTAGAGTACCACGGTTATTTCTACCAGTAGTGCCTCTGACTGTTCTATCTTGTATTATTTAGAATGCTACCATATTAAAACTTTAAGATGTATTCCATAGACTTGATTTGTTGTGTTGACCAACTTTCAGCAGAAACATGTAGAAATGGTAGCTTTTAGGAGTAACCCATCTTGTTATTTTATGGAGTACTCAACACCAAATGAGCTGACCTGGCTCAGATTCTGCCTTATATAGTTTAAATTCTCAGCAGATAGTACATGTAAATTATGCTAAAGGTAAGCTTGACTTTAGAGTATGAAATCTAGATAAGTCTCTGTAGAGTCCTTTCTGATGACAACACTCTGTAATGTGTCTCTTACAAGGCTTCCTCAATAGCAGTGGGAGGAACAGCTTTACTTATTAATCACACTCATCTCCTCGGTCTGTGCTAGGAAATGTGGAAACAGTTGAAATTTGGATGGGACATTAAGATGGACACCTTAATTTTGTATTTTTGGCTGAAGAATATTTCAGTGTGTGGTATTCATAAATGATGCACTGCAAATGAAGAAAGGGGTCAAACATGAGTTTTTGCAGAGAATTGAAAGTGGGTATACTTTTCAGTAACTGTTTAATGCTGTTGTATGTTGGTATTCTGAGCAATCTGAATCATGAGTAGCTTTTAATTAATTTTCCCAACCGTGGCTGCTTGAGGGCATTTTGGCGAGAGCCAGCAGATGAAAGATAACGTCTGTGTCGCTCTACCTTCGAAATATAAGTGAAATGAGTAAGCATTTTTTTAAAATGTTAATTTAGCACTTTTTCACCTTCTGTAGTTTATATGACCAGTTTTCTGTGCCTTAACTGCTTAACCTGAAGAGGCTTCTCCAGTTGGGAAAACCATTGCTTCATGAGTGCCATACTGTTTCTCTTCATTTAAAGATAATAATTCACATTTTCCACATGGTCGTGAGCCTGAAAAATAGTATTTTTAATAACCTTTTTACAATACTTCAGCATTTATTTTTTTTTTTTAAGATGTATTGATTCTTTTTATTACAAAGTCAAATATAGAGAGGAGGAAAGACAGAGGGGAAGATCTTCCATCCGATGATTCATTCCCCAAGTGAGTGCAATGGCCGGTACTGTGCCGTTCCGAGGCCGGGAACCAGAAACCTCTTCCGGGTCTCCCACACGGGTGCAGGGTCCCAAACCTTTGGGCTGTCCTTGACTGCTTTCCCAGGCCACAGGCAGGGAGCTGGATGGGAAGCGGGGCTGCTGGGCTTAGATCCGTGCCCAGATGGGATCCCGGTGTGTTCAAGGTAAGGACTTTAGCCACTATGCCACGCCGCCAGGCCCAGTACTTCAGCATTTAAAGAGATTAACACAGTACTGCTTTCTCTCGTGTTGGCTCTCAGGGTTTGATTTAACTTTATGGTTTCCTTGAAATCTTTTTTCTTCATGTTATTCTATGAAGAAGAAATTTTTTACTTCTGAGTCTTGGAAGTAGTTCAAGTAGCTATCTCCAGAGTTTTCTTAGGATTGAACTTTGCTAGTTTAAAGGGAAAAAATTAACATTATCAGATAGAACATCATATGTATTTATAAATTACTAATTGTTAAGTTTGTAAGCATGTATATTAGCTGCATCAAGATCAGCCTAAAATTAATCACATTAACCATTTGGCAAGCTGTTAATGACCTGTCAAATTTGATTGGAATGTGCTAAAAAAAGAATGAAGCTCAGCTGAAGGAATACTGAGTTGCTTCCTTAACACGAAGACATGAAAGTGAATGAGTTCTTGCACTCACTCCTCTCTCCCTTTGCTTTTTAGACCAAAGAGAGTCTACAGTATGCATTAGAAACCCTGACTATGAATGGCTGCTCAGTGGAAGACCTAGGACTGGATTTCACTCTGCCCGGGTTTCCCAACATTGAACTGAAGAAAGGCGGGAAGGATATACCTGTCACTATCCACAACTTGGAGGAGTACCTGCGAGTACGTCCCTGCCCCTCGTGCTGGCCACGCAGGCTGTGGGCGCTGGCCCTGCTTGGAGGCCCGCCCTGGAGACAGCGGAGGGAAGGCACTTGTGGCAGTGAAATACAGGCCTAAAATGTTCTCTGTTCCGAGGAAGGCCATGGTGGAAGCCTTTGCTTCTGTTTGCTCTTGAGAGAGCTTGTATATAACCTTAAGTGAGCTGTGCTCGAGCCTAAATGTTAAATGAAAAAAGTAACTGAAAAGCAGCACCACATTCCCCCTCGCTAAGCTGCATCTGCCTGCCTTTAGGCCGACTGGCTGCAAAGAATCACCCACCCACCTGTGTACCTGCAAATTACTAGATTGTGGTGATTGGCCATAGTCACTAAATTTAGGGGAAATAATTTATATTCAGTACAAATTACATTTTAAATTACAGCCTACATATATTTTTGTTACGTGCTGGAAATTTTGTATTGGTTTATTCTTGCTATTGGGTGGAAAGAACATTTGATTCAAGTCATATTGACAGTTACATCTGCATATGTAAAAAGCAAACACGTACATATTATTGATTTAGCAATTTTTGTGAAATGTATGTGTAATCTGATTCAGTTTCTAAAACCTGCAATAGTCTGGGCTGGATCAGTCTGAAGCCAGGAGCCTGGAGCCTCTTCTGATATCCCACACAGGTGCAGGGTCCCAAGGCTTTTGGGCCCTTACTGCTATCCTAGGCATAAGTAAGGAGATGGATGGGGATTGAACCAGCCAGGACGTGAACTGGCACCCATGTGGGATTCTGGCAGTTGCAAGGCAAGGATTTAGCCACCGAGTCATTGCACTGGGCCCCATAAGTTTTTAAGTATCCAGAAGGATGTTTAACTGTGTTTTGCCTCATGCTTTATAGCACAAAGATTTAAAATCTTACTACAATTTATTTTTTTCTTTTTTTGCAGCTGGTTATATTCTGGGCACTAAATGAAGGTGTTTCTAGGCAGTTTGATTCCTTCCGAGATGGTTTCGAATCGGTTTTCCCACTCAGTCATCTTCAGTACTTCTACCCAGAGGAAGTGAGTAGCTTTTACCTGAAATGGTACATGTATATCTGTACCTAGGACAGTGTTTGCACCATCCAGTCAAGAACCCCATTGTCAAAGCAGAGGTTTGGGAGCAGGGCTTAGATGTCCTGGAAAAACTGCTTTCCTGAGTCAAGTGTCCCTCAGGGAGTAGGAGCCCCCTCTGGGTCACAGGGAGTGTCCCTTGTCTGCTGATGGGAATCAGGGCTCTGGTGTGGGCAGCAGCATCTGCAGGTCTCTGGGTGACTCTGGTTGTGGGAGTGCTGTGAGTTCACAGCAGGGAAGCGACTGAAACTAGTTCTTGCAGTGCAGACAACTGCTTTGTTATGTCTATTGGAAAGGCAGACTTACAGGGAGAAGCGGAGACAGAAGTCTTTCATCCACTGGTTCACTCCCCAGATTATTACAGTGATCAAAGCTGAGTTGATCCAGAGCCAGGAGCCAGCAGCTTTTTCTGGGTCTCCCTTGTGGGTGCAGGGTTCCAAAGTGTTGAGCCATCCTGCACTCTCTTCCGAGTCCAGAAAGAGCTGGATGGAAATAGAGCAGCTTGGGCATGAACTGGTGGCCAAATAGGATGCTGGAGCCATGGGGTGGAAGATTGGTTTGCTGAGCCACAGCATCAGCCCGTGCTACTTTTTTAAAATCCAGTTTTAGAATACACCTTTACTAATGACTAAATCTAGAAGTCTTAATGCCAGCATTTAAACCTTAGTTGCTATTTTTGTATTTACTTTGACTTGGAGCTTTTGGTGAGCTTGATAATTTGGAGTATTACTGCATCTCAGCTGGAATTCAAAGCCATCCATGTTCTGTCTGGGCTCGAGTCGGTCCTTGATGATATGGCTGAGGAGCCTGTTAAGATTACTGTATCTGACCAGACTGTTGGAAATCCCTCTTGTATAGGATAAGAAGAACTAAGAGATGGAAGGTGTATGACAGGGAAATTTCACTTGTCCCAGGAGATTTTTTTCTCAGAGTATGCAGTCTTGCAGAGACGGGAGGAGAAAAAAGGTTTAATTTGAATCCGATGGTAGCTCTTCTTCCCTCTGCCGTCCCTTCTGTAGCATTTGGGTGAACAGATAGCCTCTGGCAGGTACAGAGCTGAGTGTTTGTTCACATCCCAGTCCGCCTTTCTTCTCCCACTGTGCTCTTCATTTATCTCTCTCTCTGTCTTTAGGCTTTTGTTGTTGCGTACTCTGTTTCTGGAAGCTAGGATTTATAAAATCTGCTTCATGAAAAGCAGGTTCTCATTTTTAAATTTCTAAAGTTGTGAGAAGAATAGCTACCAAAACTGAAGCTCAGGACCTGAGTCACTTGTGGTATGTTTGACTCTCAAAGGTTCTCCAGGTCCTGGTCCCTAGAAGTGGGCAGGGACATACATAGAACAGGGCTACTAAAAAGACATGAACAAGAAGTGTTCTAGAAGGAACCTAAGTAAATAGTACTCTTTCAACATATTTATTCACTTATTTGCTATGAGGGAGACAAAGAGTGCCCTGATTTGCTGGTTCATGTCCCAACTTCCTGCTGTGGCAGTGGCTGAAGGCAGAAGCTAGAAATTGAGTCCAAGTCTCCTGTGTTATCTGCAGGAACCCAATCACTTTAGCCATCACTGCTCTCTGTCGTGATCTGCCTGAGCAGGGACACAGACCCAGACACTGCAGTGTGAGCTGTGGGTGTCATAACTCTGGCCAGGCATCCGCCCTTGGAAGCAGTACTCTGGTGCTACATGCAGACCTTTGTTTTTGCTGAGGTGTATGCACATGTTCTTCTGGTAATTCTTCTCCTCAACATTCACAGCTGGATCAGCTCCTCTGTGGCAGTAAGGCAGACACTTGGGACGCCAAGACGCTGATGGAGTGCTGCAGGCCCGACCACGGTTACACGCACGACAGGTAGGCAGAGCCCGGCGGAGAGAAGTGAGTGTGTGGAAGCAACTGAACCTTGTGGCATTATCTTTCTTAATTTGTGTGCCTTTGGTTAATTCTCACAACTGAAGACCCAAGAGTTTCTTTTTCAAGTATTCTCCTGAAACTGAAGATAAGATTTAATTCTCTCAGTAAATGTTGTGATGCCGAAATACCTGTGCAGTACCAGATCAGGTCTTACTTAACCATAGAAATCATCACTGTATTTTAAGTTTAGTTATACAGCAAAAATATTCCATTTCAGAGGACATTGTGGTGGGGATGTGCGTGATTGATCACTGATTCTCAGGGTTCAAAGTGTCCTGTGTTGCTTTGTTGCAGTCGGGCTGTGAAGTTCCTCTTTGAGATCCTCAGTAGTTTTGATAATGAGCAACAGAGGTTGTTTCTCCAGTTTGTGACTGGGAGCCCAAGATTGCCCGTTGGAGGTAGGTGTGCTGCTGCTGCCCAGCATGGATCCTGCCGTGGGGGTGTGAGTGAGATTTACAAACCAGCAGTAGGAGGTTGCTTACTGGACTTGTATCCCTCTTAGGATCGGTTTTCAATTGGCGATGCTGTTCATTGAGAGAACATCAACAGGAGAAACAGGGGTTGTCTCACACGTGTGTGATGTTGCTTACGTTTCTAGGGAAACGTGAAGTCCAACATGGTTTCTCTGAAATGTGTCCTAGTATAAGTTGGACTAATGCTTGTTTTTAAAGTAAAATGAAGTTTGGAAGGCATTAAGAACTGTTATTTCCATGTTATGCAGTGATATTTCATTATGAATTAATGAAGCAGGTTTGATGCAGAAAATCTGAGTTAAAAATGTAAAATGTCCACACCGAAAAGCTTGGTCAGAAAGAATACACTGGGGCAAAAGGGAGAGGGTTTGCAGCAAAGCAGTGTGATGGCTTTCCGATAGTAGCAACACTGAAAATAGTAAGTTCTGTGGTCTGTCTGCTTTTTCTCTTAAATCAGGATTCCGGAGTCTGAATCCACCTTTGACAATTGTCCGGAAGACATTTGAATCAACAGAAAACCCAGATGACTTCTTACCCTCTGTAATGACTTGTGTGAACTATCTAAAGTTGCCGGACTATTCAAGCATTGAGATAATGCGTGACAAACTATTGATAGCAGCAAGAGAAGGGCAGCAGTCATTCCATCTCTCCTGATTACAACGAGAAGTCAGTGTCTGCCTGTTACAGCAAAAGAAAAATCATGGTTTCTTTTCTAAATGTATCACCTGAGTCAAGGAAACATGTTACGCCTTCTTGTGGTAGGAAAACGGCTTGCAGATTCTAAGAGACACTTGGTTGATATTAATGGCCCCATGGACTTAAAGTGATCAGGCCCTAAAATGTTGTTGTGATGAGGTTTCTTTAGCAAGTTCTTGTTTAAATTATCATTTATTTGATGAGTGAAGTTTTTAACTTGCTTTGCTGTGTGAAATTTGAAAAAAAAGGGATGTTTTTCCAAGCTGGAATAATAAATGTCGCTGTGCAGTTTAATTCTGGGCTGTGTGTATCCATCTAGCAGAATGTGCAGTCTTTCCTGCTGTACGTGCACAGACATCAAAGCCCCCCGTGTTCCCGGCAGGCGGAGTCCAGTCGAGCAGCCCCTGTGCTTTCTGCTCCCCTCCGACCTTGTGCCCGAACTCCCCGTCTGGTTTACACAGTTGTCACATTGTCGTTAGCCATGGCTTTTGTTGTCCCATGTTCTCTCCAATTGAGACATAATCTATGATTCAATGAATTGAAATACCTTGTCACTGCTAGGTAAACTTTTCTTCTAGCTTAGTTTGAATCTAGTTGTAGTGTGGTAACTGACCTTTGACCCTGTGACAAGGTAGGACTGTTTACACTGACATTCTGGCCACATGGATAGCAGCCTCTGGGATGAAGGCACAGAAAGCTCAGGTGCTCAGAATCATTTCTTTGGCATAAGTCAAAATGTCTACAGCTTGGTTAACTAGAATCTTTTTCAATGCCGGCAGGGCGTTTTAAATGGGTGTAAATGTTTAAATAAAACTGGAAGTTTTTAATTCCTGTTGGAGTAAGCAGCTCTTTTTCTCCCTTGCCCAGTTTTTGTTCCCCTTCTCCCAGTGGTCACTTGGAACAGTTCAGCCTTTGTCTCACAGAGAAAAGCACCTGTTGGTAGTAACTTGAAGACAGTATAAAGTGGAAAGAGATTCCTTCCTTAAGTTTCAAAATTACATACACTTTAGAGAAATTTCTGTACTTTATTTCTGAAAATGAAAATGATAGATTTCCCCCGCCCCCCTCAATTTTTTAAATTGGCCTTTGGGAAGCCACTTTTCTTTCTTTTGGTCTAGTGAAGTCTTACCAAATTAAGTCCTTATATACATCAGTAGCCTTACATGAAAACATCTTCCCCTGGCAGCCAGCATGGAAAGAGACCCCTCAAGGTGGGAGAGAACTGTCACAGGAACTGGGAGCCAGAGGAATCTGTGCTTGTAAGAACTGATAGCTTCAGCAAGAGGCTGAACCGTTATTTGTTTTCAACTGGTCTGATACCCTTTTTACAAGTTCTGTTAAAGTGTAAGTGTATGTGAACAAAATAGTGTTTCCTATTAAAAATCCTTATTTTTAACTTTTTATCCATGTTGTGTCCTTGACAGGTCTGACCTCATGGATTCTAAGAGGAATGTGTTGGTTTTGACTCAGACTCTGGAGTGTTTCAAACCCAGTGGTTTTTGTTCTTAAGCTTTCAGTCTTCGGCTTACTGTTTTGAGTTTGTCGGCTAGGAAAGCCTTTCTCATTTTAAAGGGTCTCTTGGTAGAGGCCTTAATGCATATTAGGGAAAAGACACGGACTCCAGTTGCTCTTACTCCAGTATGCCTTAAATTTGTTTGCTCAGTTGTCCTGTCAACAGACGCTAACTTCCCAGTGTGCTCTGGACACACAGATAGGTGATGACTGCAGTTTTCTTGTTCCTTTACTCTTGCTGTCAGATGGAGTCAGGCAGGTGGCAGTCACAGCTGACACTGAATCCATGTTGTTATTTAGGCAGTAACAGTGGACTGACTTTGTAGGAACTGAAGGAAGGAAAAGGTTGTTTAATACAACTCTCCTCTTCCCCCAAAGAAGTGTTGTGTAAGTTCCAGGTGGTTTAACTGGGTAGCCTGGGCCAAGCCTGACAGATAGGTTCACCACAGCTGCAAGATTTGTACTTTTCTGCTTTCGATTTAATGTGTGAGTGCTGACAGAAAGCTTCTTGGATTGTGGCAGTCCACCAAGAAGGCGGTGCGCTCAGCATCCCTCTTCTGTGGGTATGGCTGTTGAGTTGTTTGCGTAACATGGAAAGGAGTGGTGCAGCCAATCAAGGGGCCCCTCACTTCCTTCCCTGGAGTGACTTCCCAGGGCATCTGATGTGTAAAGATGAGAGAACCAAGGCACGAAGTGCTGACTTGCACCTGCAGTAACTTAGCCCCACTTCTTGATTTTCCACAATAAAGATTATCAAGAGCATATTAGAGATTGATTGGTGTCCCGCTGACCCATCCTGTCTGTGAAAGTGAGGTCAGGAAGTGGGAATGTGGGAATGTCATTGACATTCCAAGAAAAAGGAACTTGCTGTGGAACTCTGAAAATATATTCAAAAAGCTAATCCTTTCCTGAGGAGGGGGATGCTGGATGAGGTTGTAAATTGACCGTTAGCAAAGAGAAGCAAACCCTGGCTCTCCTTTTGCACCTGTTTCTCCTGCTGTAATGAGAATGTTGTTTAGAAATGTCATCTCTGTATTTATTCTCTGAGAACTGCTCTTGTATCAGTCTTGGGATTGACTTGGCAATAGTTTGCTTTCATAGTAAGGATAACCCAGTGACGAGTCTCCCAAAGCTTCTTTTGTTACCTCAACAACAGCAGCAACATCCTGACAAACTAGAGCATTTATATATACAGAAAACAGAGTTGGCTGTTTTCCAAGAACACAAAGTTAACTGTTTTTAATGCAAGGAACAATTATTGACTCTGAAGACTCACTCTGCATAAAGGAGACATTCTTTAATATTGGAAGCAGTGGTTTTATTTTGACTACAAGCCTACTCATATTACCAAACTATAACCAATTGCTGATCTCCTGTAAAGCGTTTTTTTCCTTTTATCTCAAACAGTGATTTATATGAACTGTTGGAATAATGGAACCTCAAACTACAGATGTGTATGTAAAACTGTCTAAAATGCACTGACTTCCTCCTCCCTGACTATATTTTTAATAAACGGCATTATCCTACATGGCCAGTTTTGTTATGTGTAACTAGAGGGTCTTTGAGAAGTGATACCTGCCTTCCTGGGAGGCTTTTGAAAAGCTGGTTTTGCTGAGATGTGCTATATTCTTGGCTCTGGGAAGTGGTGGAGAACACGCCAGGAGACAGGGATTCAGGGAGGCAGCTCTGTTATTCCTGGCGAGAGATATGCACTTTCTATAAGTTGCCTGTATGCTAATGAAGTGCCACCTTTGCATCTGGAAGTGTGTGGCCTGTAACTGATGCTGTGGCTTAGAGCACTGTGCAGTCACTGTTCTGGGTTTTCATGAGTGGCTTATATGCTCTTGACACATGTCCATAGCATTCTGCGTCACTGAAATGGAAAGGTTGAAATATTTATGGAAGCAGAAGATAAACTTTTTATATGAGGAGTAATTGAATCTAGGGGCTTTTTTTCCTGTTTTCAGGGATATAAGCAGGTGAAATACATACCCCGGTTAGAGATGTACGGCACATACATGGCAAGTACATGTGTGTCGTTTTGGCATGATTGCCTAAAAAGGAACGGGACATTGGTGAATTTTTTGATCTGTAAATTGGCAGCATGACACATAAAACACAAGGGAGCTTGCAGCTGGTCTCTGACCCGTTCTGTTTCGGGGGCTTGGTGGCAGCACACTTGACAGGGTCGGGTGAGGAGATGAATTAAGTTGTAAGTTTTGCCAGTTACTGAGCCACCGTTCCAATAACAAGCCCACATGATCCCTTGGGAAGCAGTGCACTCGAGGCCTGGGGTGTGGCCACTGCAGTATGGTAGGCCCAGGGAACCCAGTCCCCTGCTTGGCTTCTCCATCCTCTTCATGGGAGGGGCTGGCAGAAGGGCGGTGCTGAGGCCTAGAGTGGTGCTGACAGCCTCCCGCAGTCTTGAGAGGCAGCTGAAAGGGTCTGTACCTCAGCTGCCCCTTTGCCTGAGAGGCCCAGGCTCTCATGTTGGGCCATTGCACAGTTAGCAAGGACTCACATCTTCGCAATGCATTTTAACATTGTACGTGACTAAGATGCATTGGTCATTAATATATATAACTCAAGAAAATTATGCTAGGATACATACGGCAGAAACTACAAATCCAGATGGCAAAAGAGGTCTACATCGTTACAGGTTACACTGGCAGTTGGCAGTACAGTTACGTGGGAAGCTGTTGCTGGTTAAAATGGAAAGTTGGCAGTAGTGGGATTCCCGAAGGGATCAGGACCTTTGTTCAGTCTCGTTCCCAAAGTGTGTTCTGACACCTGTTGCGGCTGAGTCCCTGGGCTTCGTGGGCACTTGGGGGCTGGGGCAGAAGGCCCAGTCAGAGTCACAGGCCTCCCTTCGCCCTGCCTGGCCGCCCAGAGTTTTACACTCCATGTTTGTTGAACTGCTACCATGGTCCCTTGGGTCACCATCTCGTATTAATACAATTGGCATCTTACATTAAGAACCGCCTTCCAGTGTTTTCCACAGGCACAGTTCTTGGTGGAAGGCTCATAGCAAAGCATTTTTCTTGAGAAAAAACGTGTTTTTCTCTTCCTGCTTCTGCATGGCCATAGCACCTGGGTCACTGACAGCTCCCAGTGCCCCTTGGTAGGGTGAGTGACAGGGACTCTGTGCCCAGCTTTTAGAAAACCTTCCAGAGTCACCTTAAGACTCTGCAGAACCTGCGTGGGGAGGGCAGCCAAAGTGACTTCAGTCGGCAAGGGCCACAGTTCCACTCTACCTCGACTAAGGGACCAGTGTGGTGGCCCTCTGCCCTGTGGTGCCTGTATCCCATATGGGTGTTAATTTGTGTCCAGGCTGCCCCACTTCCCATCCAGCTTGCTGCTTGTGGCCTGGGAGAGCAGCAGAGGATGACCCAAATGCTTGGGCCTCTGGACCTGTGTGGGAGACCCAGAAAGAAGCTCCTGGCTTTGGCTGTTTGGAGAGTGAATTGGCAGCTGGAAGACATTATGTATCTATAAAAATGTGTGTTTCAGATATAAATCTTTTTTAAAAAGAATTTTAAATAACTAAATAGATTGAGACAATGGCATCACCACTGTTCCTTCTTCAACTTACCTTACCCTGACACTGCAGGCGGCCTGTAAAGTAACAGCGCGACATAGAGCCATGCGTTTCATCCACTGATTCGTCCTCCAGATGATGGCAGTGGCCACAGCTGGGCCAGTCGGAATCCAGGACCCTGGAGGGTCCCCACTGTGGCTGGCAGGGGCCTAAGCACCTGAGCCATTGTTGGCTGCTTTCCCCAGCACGTTAGCACAAAGGGAACAGCCAGGACTCAAACCAGTGCTTACATGAGATGCTGACAATGCAGACAGCTGAACACACCGCACCACAGCATCAACTGCTACACAATTTAAGCTTGTTCATTTATTGTGAAAGTATCTAGAATTAAGAACTGCAGGGATTAAAATGTCCCAGGAAATATTTTGATTCCTGTCTTAAGTGCTTCGGTGGGTTTTCTTTTGGTTTCTACTGTTTGTCAAGATGCGAGTGGAGCTTGAGGTAGTAAGCACTGACTGCTACTGTCAGATCCTGTAGGCTGGAAAACAAAGGATTCACACAGTGGGGGGGGCAGAGATGATGCTACTACGGAAGTAAACCAAACTGCTTTTACAAAGCCAGTTTAGGGCCCGGCGCAGCAGCCTAGTGGCCCAAGTCCTCACCTTGCGCATGCCAGTATCCCATATGGGCACCAGTTCTAATCCCGGCCGCCCTGCTTCCCATCTAGCTCCCTACTTGTGGCCTGGGAAAGCAGTTGAGAATGGCTCAAAGCCTTGGGACCCTGCATCCGTGTGGGAGATCCAGACTCTTCTTTTGGATCGGCACAGCTCTGGCTGTTGTGGCCGCTTGGGGAGTGAATCAACAGATGGAAGATCTTCCTCTCTATCTCTCCTCCTGTCTGTATGTGTGCCTTTCCAATAAAAACAAATCTTTTTAAAAAGTGGGTGACACAACAGGTAAAGTCACCACTCATGATGCCAGCATCCCGAATCGGTGCACTCCCCATCCAGCTCCCTGGGAAAAGCAGAAGCTGGCCGGAGTACTTGGTCCCTGCATCCAGCTGAGAGCTGGGTGAAGCTTTTGGTGAAGCTTTTGGTCCATGGGTTCGACCTGGCCCAGTGCTGGCTACTGTGGCCATCTGGGATAAGTGAACCAGTGGACAGAAGATCCTTCTCTCTGTCTCTTCCCTCTGTCTCGGGAGGGTGAGGGGGGACAGGAGAGCGCCTGAGGGAGGTGCCTCTCCCAGGATCAGGAAACTTGTCATGCAAACAATGGAGTTTTGGGGGTTTGCTTGTCAAACACCACTGGCTCACAGGTGTGGCAGTCCATGCGGTCACTCTGGAGCCTGACAGGATTAGAACAGGGACTTCGGCCTTTCTCCCAAAAACCTTTGGCCCCAAACCAGAGACTTCTGTGGCTGCTGCAGCCCGAAGGTCCGTGTCTGTGTCACATTTGCAGAATTCATCTCCCAAGTGTAGACAGGTGGGATCCGAAGAGTTATGTGCCCCGTGCTTCCTGGAAGCTGTTGCAGGGGAGACACCCTGCCTTCACCCGGGAAGCAGAAAGGCAGGAAGACATGCCACCAGCTAACCGTGAGCTCACTGCAGTGACGAAGTGCCCATTAGCGAAAGAGAAGTGTTCTGTGCCTAGGGACGTGCCTGGTCTCCTACAGGTGCGCTGCCAGTCAGGGCCCACCCAGAGTTCAGGAGAAGCTCCTTTCCAGGACCCGCCCTTTGCCAGGTAAGGCAGTGTTGCCAGGTTCTGGACATCCGTTTTGGGAAGTCGCAGCTTGCCCACAACTGATGCTAAGCAGCAGCCCCTGGGGCTTTTGGGCTGTGGCTCCCCACTTCCAACCTTCTTCACAACAAGACTTAATGTTGAGGTCCACAGTGTGGCTCCTGGCCCAGACTGGGCCTCTGGGCCTCTGTAGGCCCAGTCTGCGTGATGAAATCAACAAGTGTGACAGTGATACGTGCAGGTGACGTGGTGCATGAAATAGACTTGTGTCTCCCTTCTGTGTCTTACAGGGCCCCTGGGAAGATTAAAGAAACAGACATAGCTCCTTTCTGTGGCTTTGGCCATGCTGTTTTCTCTTCCCCAGGAATCACTTGTACAAAAATGATCCCAGGCCCGGCATGGTAGCCTAGTGGTTAAATTCCTCACCTTGCAAATGCCAATATCCCATATGGGGACACTGATTCTAATCCCGGCAGCTCCACTTCCCATCCAGCTCCCTGCTTGTGGCCTGGGAAAGCAGTTGAGGATGGCCCAAGGCCTTGGGACCCTGCACCCGCCTGGGAGACCCAGAATAAGCTCCTGACTTCAGATCGGCACAGCCCCAGCCATTGCAGCCACTTGGGGAGTGAATCAGCAGATGGAATATCTTCCTCTTTGTTCTCTGTATATGTGACTTTCCAATGAAAATAAACAAATCTTTTTTTTTAATAAAATTTTATTTTAACATTCTTTACATAGTTAATTAGGGTAAGAAGGTTCAAGGGCTACAGGAAAGTGGATAATACTAGTATGTTTTCCATATTGTTACCTTCATGTTTAAACGGGGGTATTAAGGGAGAAGGCCCACCCAATTTCCCACCCTCCCCAGGTCCCGGATGTAGGGCATGCTCTGAGGTTCTTGCTCAAGTGGTTTTGATCTTAAAAAAAAAAAAAAAAAAAAAAAAAAAAAAAAGGAAGTACGTTCTTGACAGCAAGGGAGAGCGAGAGAAAACTTCCTTTTTGCAGTTCACTCTTCAAATGCCCACTGCAGCCACGGCCAGGCCAGGCTGAAGCCAGGAGCTGTTCCCATGCCGCACGTGTCCGTGTGAGGGACTCAAGTGCTGCCTTCCGAGGAGCAACACTGGCCAGAAGCTGCGTTGGAAGCAGAGGAGCTGGGAGCCAAACCCAGCACCAGGTCAGGAGATGCGGGTGTCACCGTACCTGACCACCACTTCATCCAGTGCCCACCTGTCTGCACCGTGCCGCTTGCAT